ACTAGAACCCTGTGTGCCGGCACCGCAAGGTGGAGGATTAGCCTAGTGAGCCACGGCGCCGGCTCTGAAAAAATGAGTGCATATCTCTTATGTGTTTATACCCAGTAGTGGGATTGCGGCTCATGTGGCAGTTCTGTTTCTAGCTTTTTGAGAGATCCCCATAATGTTTTCCACAGTGGCTGTGCTACATTTTTATTTTCACGGACAGTGTATAAGAACTCCCCTTTGTTCACATCCTCACCAGTATTTGTTACTCTCTGTCTTCTTTATAATAGGCATTCTGAGAGGTGAGGTGGTTTTGATTTGTGTTTCCCTGATGGCTAGTGATATTGGGCATTTCTCCATATATTTGTTGGTGATTTATAGCTCTTTTCTTAAAAAAATATTTAATTATTTGGAAGAGTTACAGAAAGAGATGGGGAGAGAGAGAGAGAGAGAGAAAATGAATATCTTCCATCTGCCGGTCCACTCCACAAATGGCTGCATCAGGCAGGGCCTGAACAAGCTGAAGCTAAGAGCCAGGAACTCCATCCACATTTCCTAGGTGGGCCACAGGGGCCCAAGCACTCCGCCATATCCTGCTTCTTTCCCAGGCACATTAGCAGGGAGCTGGATCAGAAGAGGAAGAGCTGGGACTCAAACTGGTGCTCACCTGGGATGCCAGCATTGCAGGTGGCAACTTAACCTGCTCTACCACAATACTGGCTCTGTAGTTCTGTTTGTTTTAGAGATTTATTTACTGACTTTTAAAGAGTTAGAGGGAGAGTCAGAGAAAGAGAGCTCTTCCGTCCTCTGGTTCACTCCCCAGATGGCTGCAATGGCCAGCACTGGGCCAGGCCAAAGCCAGGAGCCAGGAGCTTCATCCGGGTCTCCCACCGTGGGTTGCAGATCTCCAGACACTCGGACCATCTTCTGCTACCAGGCCAGTAGTGTGGAGCTGGATTGGAATTGGAACAGCCAGGGCACAAACCAGCATCCACATGGGATGCTGGCCTCAAAGGTGGTGACTTTACGTGCTGTGCCCCAATGCCAGCCCTCTGTAGTTCTCCTGAGAACTATTCAAGACCTTTGCTTATTTCTTAACTTGACTGATTGTTTTATTAGAGTTGCTCATATATTATGGATATTAATCTTTTGTTGAGTAAGTTGCTTACAAATATTTTCTCCCATTCTGTCAGTTGTCTCTTCACTCTTGTTTCCTTTATGGGGCAGAAGCTTCTGAGTTTGATATAATCCCATTTGCTAGTTTTTCTTTTGTTCTCTATGCTTTTGTGCTTTGGGGACTTGAGAAGTTGTCACCTCCATCAGTGTCTTGAAGTCTTTCCCCTGTGTTTTCTTCTGGCAGTTTCATAGTTTCTGGTCTTACATTTAGATCTTTGATCCACTTTGAGTGGATTTTTGCATATGGTGAGAGGCAGGGATCTAATTTCATTCTTCTATATATGTATGTTTTGCCAGCACCATTTGTTGAAAAGACTTTTTTTCCATGTGTACTCTTGGTGCCTTTGTCACAAATCAGTTTTCTGTGTGTACGTGGATTAAATTCTGGGCTCCTTTCCATTCCACTGAGCTGTGTATCTGTATCTGTTTTTATGCCAGGATTATGCTGTTTTAATTACTGTAGCTGTGCAGTATGCTTTGAAATCAGGTATTGTGTTGTCTCTAACTTGATTTTTTTGGCTTAGTATTGCTTTGGCTATTCTGGGCCTTTTGTGACCATATGAATTTTAGGATTATTTTTTCTAAATTTGTAAATAGTGTCATTGATATTTGATAGGGATTGTATTGAATCTGTAAGTTATTTTAGGTAATATAGACATTTTAATGATATAAATTATTCCGTTCCATGGGCAAGGGATTTCTTTTAATTTTTTTGTGTCCTTGTTGATTTCTTTCTTTGTTTTTTGTAGTTTTCATTGTGGAACTATTTCACTTCTTTGATTAAATTTATTCCTAAAGATTTGATTTATTGATAGCTGCTATTAATGTGATTTCCTGTCTGATCTCTTAGATCGTGGTTGGTGTATAAAATGCTGTTGTACTTTTATATTGATTTTGTATCCTGCTAGTTTACTGATTTTTTTTTTATCAGTATAATAGCTTTTTGGTCAAGTGTTTAGAGAGTTTAATGTACAACATCATATCATCTATAAACATGGATATTTTGACTTTGTCCTTTTCAATTTCAGTGTCTTTCTTTCTTTCTTCTCCTTAGTTACTCTTGCTAATGCTTCCAACACAGTATTGAATAAGAGTGGTGATAGTGGGCATCGTTGTCTTGTTCAGGATCTGAGGGGAATGCTTTCAGGCTTTCCCTAGTCCCCTAGTCATGTGATTGGTACTGATTGTTGGCTTGTCATATATAAGCTTTACAATTTTTTTTTTTTTTTTTTTTTTTTTTTTTTTTTTCTGACAGGCAGAGTGGACAGTGAGAGAGAGAGACAGAGAGAGAAAGGTCTTCCTTTGCCGTTGGTTCACCCTCCAATGGCCGCCGCTGCAGCCGGCGCACCGTGCTGATCCGATGGCAGGAGCCAGGATCCAGGTGCTTTTCCTGGTCTCCCATTGGGTGCAGGGCCCAAGCACCTGGGCCATCCTCCACTGCACTCCCTGGCCATAGCAGAGAGCTGGCCTGGAAGAGGGGCAACCGGGACAGAATCCGGCGCCCCGACCGGGACTAGAACCCGGTGTGCCGGGCCGCAAGGTGGAGGATTAGCCTATTGAGCCACGGCGCCGGCTAAGCTTTACAATTTTGAGATATGTTCCTCTGCACCTAATTTATTGGGGATTTTTAATCATGAAGGTATGATTATAAATCTTATAATCTTATATATAATCTTATAAATCTTATAAGTCTTATAAATGCTTTCTCCCCATCTGTTGAGATAATTATATGATCTTTGTACTTCATTCTGTTGGTGTGATTTCTGAACTTTTATTGTTTTTCAAATGTTAAGCCACACTTGCATGTTAGGGATGAATCCCCCTAGATTATGAGGTATGATCTTTCTGTTGGATTCAGTTTGCTAATGTTTTATTGAGAATTTTTGCATCTGTATTCATCAAGAATATGTCTGTAGTTTTTGTGTTGTCTTTTCTTTTTGGTTTTGATATCAGAGTGATGCTGGTGTTGTAAAAAGAGTTTGACAGAATTCCATCCTTTTTAGTATTTTGGAATAGTTTGAAAAGTATGAGAGTTAGTTCCTCTTTAAATGTTTTGTAGAATTCAGTAGTAAAGCCATCAGGTCCTGGACTTTGCCTTGATGAGAGACTTAAGTACTGCTTCAATGTCATAACTTGTTATAGGTCTGTTTAGATTTTCTGTATCTTGCTGATTTAATCTTGGTAAGCTATTAGTATCCAGAAGCTTATCAATTTCTTTGAGGTTTTTCAGTTTGTTAGCATATGGTTGTTCATAGTAGTTTCTTATGGTCCTTTGTATATTCTGTGATGGTAGTTGTAATGTCTTTTTTTCATTTCTAATTTTATTTTATTTTTTTTTTTAGTTTTCTCTCTTTTTCTTTGTTAGTTTGGTTAAAAGTTTGGTAGTTTATCTTCTCAAAACACCAGCTTTTCATTTTGATGATCTTAGTTTTGTTCCTTTTTTTTCCCTTTAGTTTCAATTTCATTTATTTCTGCTTGATTCTTATTATTTCTTACCTCTTACTAATTTTGGGGTTTGGTTTGTTCTTGTTTTTCTAAGTCCCTGAGATGTATTATTAGATTATTTGAGATCTTTGTGTGTAGGTTTTTTTTTTTAATATAAGCATTTATTGCTGCAAGTACTGCTTTTGCTGAGTCTCACAGGTTTTGTTATGTTGTTTTTTCGCTTTCGTGTGTTTCAAGAAAGTTTTTAAGGTTTTCCTGGAAAAGACTTGTTTGTTTTGATGGAATGTGGGATATCACTTGGGTTGTTGATTTGGATCTCGTTCTAGGTGAGTCCAGAAATGTGACTCCTGAGTGATTTCTTCAGTGGTAATTGGCTCAGCAGTGTGTGCAGTAGTTTGTGGAGGTAGTAACATGATGTGAAGTGGAGGTGAGCTTCCACAGGTGTGTGTCTTTAGGCCCCAGACAGAGGTAATGTGGTGCTGTGGGACACAGGCGGTCCCCTTGTCCTAACAGGCATGCACAAGTGATGCTGCGTACAGCACCAGAGGCAGTGCTGGAGTTTCTGAGTGCAGAGGGGCTGCCCCCAGTGCTCACAGGGCGTAGAAGGAGGAAGCTGGGTCTTGTACTCCGGCCTCCCCAGGACCCTGTGGTAAGAGCGGCAGACCCCACGGCTTCCTCAGTTCTGATCTGCTGGGCTTGTGGGACAGCCTGCTGACAGGGAACAGTAGGTTTGTTATTCTGAACTCTTGCTATGACTTCAGATTCTGTGTCTATGGCTAAAGTGATTTTTAATCCCAATTTTTATGTAGATGAAAGGGCATAATTTTCTTTTTGAAATGTTAATATTAATGTTAATAATAATTAATGTTAATAATTAATGTTAATATCAGCATTTGCTGATCTGTTTACATTTTTCAATTCCTGGAATCAAGATATGGTGAAAGAGCCGGCACCACGGCTCACTAGGCTAATCCTCCGCCTTACGGCGCCAGCACACCGGGTTCTAGTCCCGGTCGGGGTGCCGGATTCTGTCCCTGTTGCCCCTCTTCCGGTCCAGCTCTCTGCTGTGGATCGGGAGTGCAGTGGAGGATGGCCCAAGTGCTTGGGCCCTGCACCCCATGGGAGACTAGGATAAGTACCTGGCTCCTGCCATCGGATCAGCGTGGTGCGCCGGCCGCAGCGCGCTGGCCGCGGCGGCCATTGGAGGGTGAACCAACGGCAAAAGGAAGACCTTTCTCTCTGACTCTCTCTCTCTCTCTCACTGTCCACTCTGCCTGTCAAAAAAAAAAAAAAAAAGTAAAGATATGGTGAAAGCTTCTGAGATTTAAGTATATAGGTTGTGGAACTTAGAAACCTGGTACATGTGTGCTAAATACGTTTTCATTTAATTTCAGGAAATCTTACTGATGAGGGACAGCAGTATTGTTGTAGACTATTAGAAATGGATTCAAAAAGTGGTCCAGGCCTTATTGGCTTAGGCATAAAAGCACTGCAAGACAAAAAGTATGAAGATGCTGTCAGGAACCTAACAGAAGGTATTGTACAGTGTGTAGCACACAACCCACAGTGTGATTGTTATTGGATCGCTGGACATTGATCTTTGATTCTTTCTTTAAGAAATGCATGTCTAAGATGGGATCGGTTATTGTGGAGTCAATTTAAATCTGAATTCCAATTCTTCCACTCACTGATTTCAAGACCTCAGAAAAGTTAATTAAACTTTTTGTGTCTCAGTGTTTTCTTTTTCAAAAAATGGGATGATTTTAGGAAGCCATGGGAAGGTTTTAATCTCATCAGTTACACAGTGTTTCTAAATGAACCTGCATTCAAGTTGAGATCTGAATGCCAAATGCAAGCCAGGGCGGGGCTGAAAGGGCTCGGGAGGAACACGGGAGGCTGAGATGAATCTGAAATAGCCTGAGGCAAGAGGAGAGCTTGTTCAGGAAACTGCTGGCAGTGCAGCCAGATTTAAGGATGAGGTATGGGTACAGGAAGGGGCGGGCAGCAAGCTTGGGGAAGACCTTAGGAAACTTGTTTGAGGCGCTTGCACAGTATCCTGAGGGCAATTAAGAGGTTTTTTTTTGGGGGGCGGGGGTAGTCCATCATCTGATAGTATTTTGAGAGATCATCTGGCTATAGTGTAGCAATGTGTTGGAGGGGATGCAAGCATTTGAGAGATAAAGATGGAGGAGGTCAGAATTGAAGTGGTTTGAGATGGAGAAGTATGTGGAGAGAGGGATTGCCACGTGGAAGCCGTGTGACTTGGTGACTGACTGACGTGAGAGATGCAGGAGGCGGGGGAGCCTGTGTTGGAGAGTAGATGGTGGCCCCGTTTGTCTGTAGTCACAGAAACCTTGACTTCTGTGCTTGTTTTATCCTTCCAGGGTTAAGGGAAAGTCCCCTCTGCACAACCGGATGGTATCATCTGGCAGAAACCCAAGTCAAAATGCATAGACCTAAGGAAGCTGTTCTTTCATGCAATGAAGGTATTCTTGACATCTTTGGGGTTTACACGTGAACATAGCCAGCCCTCTTTATTTTCATCTTAAAAAAGACAAAGAATAGTGGTTTCCAAACCTCAGATGCTGCATTTTATATTTTGTTTTCTTCTTTTATTTGAAAGGCAGAGTTATACAGAGAGAGGGAGAGACAGAAAGAGAGGGATCTTCCATCTGTTCATTTACTCCCCAGATGGCCACAGTGGCCGGGCTTTGCCTAGAACTCCATCAGGATCTCCCACATGGGTGGCAGAGCCCCAGGTACTTGGACTGTCTTCCGATGCTTTCCAGGCACATTAGCAGGGAGCTGTATCAGAAGTGGAGCAGCTGGGACTCAAACCAGTGCTCATAGAGGATGCCATTGTTGCAGGCGATAGCTTAAATCACTATGCCACAACACTGGCCCCTGTAGTTTGTATTTTACATTGCTGACTAATTTAAGTTTCACTGAGGAAGTTAAATAAATGCCAAATCTCTATGTATGTCCACTAGTATATTATTTTTAAACTGACAGTGAGTAGTAAAGGTTCCCCACGTTTGGAATTGTGGCACAGTTTAGGCTGGGGTGGAGGTGCTCTGCCTTTGTAACAGTGAAGTTTCTTGTGTGTCCAGGATCTTCATGTGTCTAAATTTCTCTGATGTAGAAAAAGGGAAGTATGAGTGTCTTGGAGCCTGGGTGAATGATGGGTGAGGTGTGGTGGTAGGAAATCATAAAAAGTGATTCCCTATACCTGGCCAACTCGTAGCCCAGCCTCCGTCATTGAGAAACAGTTTCCCGAGGTCCATTCCAATTCGGATTCATTTCTCCTCCAGTGTCTTTAATTTGCTGTTTGTTACAAAGGCTTTTACTAAAGGCTGACTTTTGTTTTGCAGCAGGTTTGCTTAGTCATTAAGTATTTATGTATAGTTTTTGGAAATGTATGCTTACTGTGTCTATAATTTATTATGTTTCATCCTTAAAAAAGTGAAGCGGTATGGTTATCTTCATTGAGACATCCTTCATTTTGTCAGCTTTGAAGAGCACAGAGAATGCTGGTGCCTCTCCGAGCAGCCTTCAACAGAAGAATCAGTGTCTTCGTTTGAAAGCAGAGGCTTTGGTTCAGGTTTCGGATAGCGACTCTTCAGAGGAGGCAGTCCGCACCCTGGAGCAGGTAGTCTTAGCGTCAGATGTCTCCTTCTGCCATTACGTTACCATTTACTTACATGTTGTGTGCAGGTGTGAATTTGCTGTGTCTGTGCCTTATTTTGTTTAATTTTGATTTATTTATCAAATACATATTATCAACTAAACAAATAAATACATATTGTATTTGAAAAACAGTCCAAGAGATAGAGTCAGAGTTCTCCCATCTGTTAGTCCACTCCTCAAATGCCCAGAGCAGCTGAGGCAGGGCCAGGCCAAATCCAGGAGCCCAGAACTCAACCCAGGTCTCCTCTGTGAGTGGCAGGGGCCCAGCTATGTGAAGCATCACCAGCTGCCTTATAGAGTGTGTATTAGCAGGACGTTGGAATTGGCCTGGCTTGAGCCAGGGCTCAAACCCCGGCGTTCCAGTGTGGGTTGTGGGTGTCCTAACTGGTGTCAGTTGCTACACGGAAAACCCACTGTGCACATCTGTGCTGTGATCAGTCATTTCCGCACTTGAGAGTTCTGAAGTTCTTCGCTTCTTGGTTAAGTACTGACAGTGCTTTTCATATGAGATGGTTTCTATCTTTGGTTCTCTTATTCTCCCTTCTTCGTTTAGCCCTTTTGCATTATTACTACTTGAATGTTAAAACTTTTTCCTCTAGGAAAATATTTATGGATGATTGACAAGGATAATTAAAGATACTAGTAGCCTCATAGTACAGTGTGTTGTTTCCTTGTTTCATTCAAAGAAAGATTGATTTTTAAGAAGGAAATTGATTTCCTTATGTTTTTGATTCAAGAAATTGGGGATTTTCCTAATGAAAAATATTAACTAGTAAATCACCAATTATAACAGCATTGTATCTGTCTTACTTGATTGTGTTGGTATAACAGATTACTTGATGCTAAGTAATATATAAAGAAAAGATGGGCCAGTGCCATGGCTCAATAGGCTAATCCTCCGCCTGCGGCACTGGCACACCGGGTTCTAGTCCCGGTCGGGGCGCCAGATTCTGTCCCGGTTGCCCCTCTTCCGGTCCAGCTCTCTGCTGTGGATCAGGAGTGCAGTGGAGGATGGCCCAAGTGCTTGGGCCCTGCACCCCATGGGAGACCAGGAGAAGCACCTGGCTCTTGCCTTCGGATCAGCGTGGTGCGCCGGCCACGGCGGCCACTGGAGGGTGAACCAGTGGAAAGGAAGACCTTTCTCTCTGTCTCTCTCTCTCACTGTCCACTCTGCCTGTCAAAAAAAAAAAAAAAAAAAAAAGTTGATTTCACTCAGAATTCTGGTAACTGGGAAGTCCAGTCAGCAGTGGCATCTGGTGAGAGCCTTTGCCTGCATCATAGCATGGCACTTGAAATCACATGATGGGCACACACGAGAGAGAGAGAGAGAGGAAGGGAAAAAGAGAGAGAGCACTTACATGGTAAGAGAGAAAGCAAGAGTGTGAGCCAAGAGAACAGTTGAACTCACGTTATAACAACGCCTTCTCATGGGGGTTAGTTCGGTCCAGGAGACCTTACTCACTCCCCAGAGAAGGCGTCATCCCTTCTGCGGGTGGTACCCTGAGACCTACACACCTTCCACTAGCCTTTGTCTCTATTAAGATCCCTGTCTCTGTGAGCCTTTAGGACAGGGGTGGGGAACATTTTTCTGCCAAGGGCCATTTGGATATTTATAACATCATTTGTGGGCCATACAAAATTATCAATTTCAAAATTAGTCTCCTATAGATTTTATGAATTTTGAATCCCACCATTGGTTGCCCTGGCATGGCCAGACCAAATGATTTCACTGGCCTTATATGACCTGTGGGGCTGGCTATTCAAAGCATGCAGTACCTTTTTGCTTTTGGTCTAAAATTAAAATTATATCACTCAACGTTTTACAGCTTTTTAAGTTTTTTTTTTTAAGATCATTTTATATATTTCAGAGGGCTTTATATTTCATAATATTTCTTTAAAACAGTTGTGAGCATCCTTTAAGAATTATCTTGTTCTCTTATTTTCTGCTTACCCTCCTTCCAATGATATGTTTGTGAATGCTTTATAGGGCCCTTTCCAATCATTTCTTTTACAAAACTAAAACATAAAAAGTTTCTTAGAGAATTGGGAGAGTCCAGGGCTGAGGCAGAAAATGTATAGATGAGGCCGGGCAGCTTGTCTGGCTAGAAAGCAAGGAAGCTCAAGGCTGCTGGGATCTGAAGGGCTGGCTTACGAAGATTCTTAGCTGCTGTGGATTAAGGCACATCAGATGCCATGACACAGCTGGAAAGAAGCAAAGCTTTTGTCCCGCCTTGCTCATTTGAACTGCTCCTTAGCGTAACCTAAGAGATAACAAGAGGAGGGGGAGGTTCTTTGTGTTCAGGTGTTCCATCTTGAAGGGAAGAAGGAATGATAGAATTAGGAACTCACCCGTTTTGTGACCCATCAGTAATGAGTAGATCTGGACATTGAGGATCAGTGCTGCCACCATCACAGAGATACAACCAGACTCAACCAACTTCAAGTACGTAGTCGTCTTGTCGGGATGTCAAACCCAAATGAGATCAAGTTCTAGACCCAACTACTGTCATACAGAAAATGCGGGTGATTGTGGGACACCCTGAAAATATATTCAGCACATCCAGACCATGAGAAACTGACAAATGGCCCAAATCTTTCTGCTACAATTACCTTGTTAGGGAGAGGAGAGGGGAAAAAAATAAGAGCTAGGAGGGAACTCTGTAGTTTAAAAATGGAGATTGAAAGATCAGCCACTTGAAATGCAAGTACCTTATTAGGATTTTTATTTAAGCAGATAAATACTTCAAATATTTTATGAGGCAATTGGAAAACCTGATGATATTGAGGATATATACTGTTGGGTTTGTTTACGTGTGACAGTGGTAATGTGGTTTTGTCATTTAACAATGAACTTACCTTGTAGATACAGACACTAAGGTTATCTATGAATAATGAAAAGGTGAGAAGTTACAGCATGTAGGATTTATTTCTAAGCAATCTGAGTAGGAAGGTGGTAAGGTGGTTAGAGATATACCTGAAAAAAGATTGCCTTTTATTTTCTTATTCTATACCTGGATGGTGGGTGCATGTGGGTCTATTATGCTAGTCTGGGTTTCTTTTTCTTTTTAATATACTTAAATTTTCCCCCAGTATTGAGGTTGTGAAGAGTGAAAGTGTGAATAGTGATAGCAGTTGGATCTCTGTGTCTTTATTCCTTTAGGACCCTGCTCTCCTATGACCATTCTGTAAAAAAAGTTAATTTTGTGATACATTGAAGAAGACTTTGAGCAATTCTTTATGATTGTTTTCTAGGTTTCTGATGCAAATAATATTCCAGGCCTTCTGGTTCTCAAAAGCTTGGCCTATCTGAACAAAGGCTCAGTAGATGAAGCTACAAAGGTTGGTGTGTTTTGTTTCATTCAAATTGAGTATTTTCTAAAAATTAAGTCACTTCCACATGGATATGAAATTAATGGATGTCTGTTTTGTAGATTATGGAAGACCTCCTCTCCTCTTATCCTGACCTTGCTGAAGTTCATGCCCTTGAGGCTTTAATTCATTTTACCAAAAAGGACTACCTACAAGCCGAAAAATGGTAAAAATATATATGGATCCAGACATATCTTACTTTTTTGTAGTTCTCAAAATGAGTGGACGTGATGAAGACTTGATTTTGTACAAATTTGATTTTTGTAGATGTTAGTAGTTTTGGAAAATCTATTTAGTACGTGGCTATAAAATGCTTTGATAGATTTTGAATCAAAATAAGTGATCATAATGTTCAGTAAGCAAATGTAGTGTTTAGTTTATGCTCTGAACACTTTGTACATAGTAGTGCTAAGAAGCTGTCGTGGTTTTTTAAGCACTGCTTCAAAAACAAATCTGTTTTTTTTCTTACTATAATCTAAATCCTAAAGTAGTGGTTTGTTTCTAGTTTGGTATCCTTGACAGTGAAACTGTTCCAATGTGGAGTCTCTTATAATTTTCATACATTTTCTGTACATTTATATGTATACATATGCCAAGAAAAACGTATGTGTGCTACATTAGTTTAAAAAGAGATCCCCTTTCCTCCCCTTGGTGACTTAGTTTTCAGCGAGCGCTGGAGAAGGATGCTGACGTGGCCGCATACCATTACCAGCTGGGGTTAACGTATTGGTTCATGAGTGAAGAGACAAGAAAAGATAAAACAAAGGCTCTCACCCACTTTCTGAAGGTGAAACAACAGCTCGTCTTCAATTCTCAGTTGAATGGATTTGTTATAAAATCATAAGTCATACTCATTTAGGTTAAGTACTTGAAATGACTCTTTACTGAACTGTTTTTGTACTTCATCTCACATACAAGATTTTATGAGAAAATTTTGAGGTTTTCAAGGAGAAAATTAAACTATAAAAGTTACTTTTTAAGAAGAAGGTACTATAGAAAATGAGACATTTATCTCTAGAAAACAATATTTTTAAAAGTAATTTCTACTATATTTTTATTGGCACATGAATTTAGATGTTTAATTTCTTGTTCTTTTAGTTGTTAACATCTGTCTTACGTTCTTATCCTAACTCATAGGAGTAGATTAATTTAATAATTGTTCTAATAATATTTCCCGCACAAAAGAAATAATGTTTTTGCACTACTGTTTATTTTCTGTCTACAGTGAGGGCCAGCTTTCATGTCTGTTTTATATCAGAAGTGGTTTTGGCAAATTTTTATATATTTATGTATATTTATATATTTCAAAAATGGTCCATTTTCTTCTTTTGTCTATGTACTGTATCTTGTGTGGGTTTTTTCTTTTTTTCCATCTTTTTAAAATTTTTCTTAAACAGATACTACTATCACCAAGTGAGAGGTTCATGACAATTATCATAACATGGGGAATAGAAGGGTATAAATTGTCATTTACATGATATGAGTCAATGAAGCAATATTTATAACTACTTACCAAGTAATATGGCATCCACATAATTTTTATACTCAGTACTAACTTTTACAAATAAGAGAAGACGTGATATTTGTCTTTCCAAGACTGGCTTATTACCCAGCCAGATGAATTTTTTTTTTTTTTTTTGACAGGCAGAGTGGACAGTGAGAGAGAGAGAGACAGAGAGAAAGGTCTTCCTTTGCCGTTGGTTCACCCTCCAATGGCCGCCGCGGCCAGCGCGATGCGACCGGCGCACCGCGCTGATCCGATGGCAGGAGCCAGGAGCCAGGTGCTTTTCCTGGTCTCCCATGGGGTGCAGGGCCCAAGCACCTGGGCCATCCTCCACTGCACTCCCTGGCCACAGCAGAGGGCTGGCCTGGAAGAGGAGCAACTGGGACAGAATCCGGCGCCCCGACCGGGACTAGAACCCGGTGTGCCGGCGCCGCTAGGCGGAGGATTAGCCTAGTGAGCCACGGCGCCGGCCCAGATGAATTTTTAATGTTTTGTTACCAATATTTATTTCAAAGGCTGCAAGACTGGACACATACATGGGCAAAGTCTTCTGCTATTTGGGTCATTACTACAGAGATGTGGTGGGAGATAAGAACAGAGCCCGTGGGTGCTACAGGAAGGCGTTTGAACTGGACGATGCTGACAGTGAAGCGGGAGCCGCTGCAGTTGACCTGAGCGTGGAGCTGGAAGATGTGGTAACCACTTTCGCCTTCTTGCTTTTTCATCCTGAGTATAGCATTGGAAAGTGTTTTACATGAATGGTTGACAGTTATCATTAGTTTTCACTTTTCTTTGTAGATGAATAAAAATAGTTTTGCCAGTGTTTATAAATAGTCAATTTTCTCATTGGTAGATGGTAAATTCCTCATCATTTAATGCTGAAACTATGGTTTAGTGTTTACTGTTTAAGTTTAAAAACATCAGAAGTGGGAAATAAAGCTGGGGGGGTACTTGATGTTCTGAATTTTTATGATATTCAGTGTCTGTAATATTAGTGTTTTCTTCTTCTTAGGAAACTGCCCTAGCTGTCCTAACAGCAGTAACTCAGAAGGCAAGTGCTGGAACAGCAAAGTGGGCCTGGCTCAGGCGTGGACTGTACTACTTGCGAGCCGGTCAGCATTCTCAAGCAGTGGCTGAGTAAGGCAACCTACTATTTTTAAACACACTGCTCCACAGTGCAATGGTTCCTTAAGTTAGATTTCATTTATATTCAGAATGAGCTTTTAGGCTCCTCATAATAGGCTGTATTCTGAAAAAGAAAAGCAAAATTTATTTATGGTCGAATGGTGCTTATTGTCTGTGGAATTGCTAAAGGCAATGGGGATTGCAAAAATGGATTAAGTGAGGGCCTGCTGTTAAGGAGATAGCCGGTCTGTTGAAGACTTCTGGAAGTGAAGTCTTCTTAGTACACAGAGTAGGTTCTTAGTAGAAATGTAAGCAGTGATAAAAAGCTGAGGTACATATATTTTTTTAAAAAATTTATTCATTTAGCTGAAAGTCAGAAGTACAGAGGTGAGAAGGAGAGACAGAGGGAGAATCTTCCATCCTCTGGTTCACTCCCCAAATGGCTACATTGACCAGGGCTAGGCCAGGTCAAAGCCAAGAGCTTCTTCTGGGTCTCCCACGTGGGTGCAGGGGTCCAAGCACTTGGACCATCTTCCTCTGCTTTCCCAGGCCATTAGCAGAGAGCTGGATTGGAAGAAGGGCAGCTGGGACAGGAACCAGCACCAGTATGGGATGCGTGCGCCCCAGGCGGAGGCTTAACCTACTATACCACAGTGCCAGCCTCTACATAACACTTTTATAAATAAAAGTGGCCATTGAGTTATTTATATGCACATATCAGTTCTGGAACATAGTTCTGTTACTTTCATATCTCTTATTGTTTCTTGACAGTTTACAGGCAGCATTAAGGGCAGACCCGAAGGACTTCAATTGCTGGGAGTCACTAGGAGAAGCATACTTAAGCAGAGGAAGCTATACGACAGCCTTGAAATCCTTCACAAAAGCCAGTGAGCTGAACCCGGAATCCATATACAGTGTGTTTAAGGTTGCAGCAATACAGCAAATCTTAGGCAAATACAAGGAGGCTGTAGCACAATACCAGCTGATCATTAAAAAGAAAGGAGATTATGTGCCTGCTCTGAAAGGTAATTCCATTTTATTAGCTTCTTTGACTTTTGTAAAACTGAATTATAAAATGCTTGAGTCAACTTCCCACCTAAGTGTACTGAATAATTTGAAAAAGGTTTCTTTCGTCAATAGCAAGCATCCATTATGAACCTTATAGTACAGCTTATACAGATTTGAATATAAAAAGATCAAATCCCTCATAACAGTTAATGAATAGGAATATGATAGAGCTTTAACTTTTAGACAAATAGCATGGTTGCTATTGGATCTAAATGTGGAACTCACTAACGAGAGTTTCCCTGCCTCTTATATTTTGATAATTAATTCACAATATTGCTAAAATATCTTCTAATTACTTTGTAAGCTATTGAACCTCTTTTGAAATCTTTTTGTTTACTAAAGTACCTAGTAAACATGTTTTAATTTTTTTAAAACTTAAACAATTTGCATTATTTTCTAATTATTGAAATTGATTTTTACTTCCTCCATAGAGATCTATAGATTCCTTCTTTTTTTATTTTTTGTTAGATTTATTTTATTTATTTAAAAGGAAGAGTAACAGAGAGGCAAAGGCAGAGAGAAAGAGCGAGGTCTTCCATCCACTGGTTCACTCTCCAAATGACCACAATGGCTGGAGCTGGGCCAATCTGAAACCAGGAGCCAGGAGCTTCCTCTGGGTCTCCCATGCAGTGCAGGGGCCCAAGGACTTGGGCCATCTTCTACTGCTTTCCCAGGCCAAAACAGAGAGCTGGGTTGGAAGTGGAGCAGCTGGAACTTGAGCCGGTGCCCACGTGGGATGCTGGCACTGCAGGTGGTAGCTTTTACCCGCTACACCACAGTGCCAGCTCATAGATTTCTTAATAAATTATTTTTAGTGATATAGAGTAAAATACCACAATCCATATGTAACTACATTTTTTATGAGTATATCTGACCATTTAACAAAAGACTGGATTTTATTATATGTGCTTTCCTTCTTTTATTTTAAGAAATTATTGAAGTTTAAATCAAATATTATATGTTTTAAGTGGCATATAACTTTGGCATGAAACTTTTAAAAAAATTATAAAACTCTTTCCTCAAGAAAAAAACTCTAATTTATGAAATGTTTACTAGGTACTTTAGTAACATCACGATTTCATTTAATTCTTAGAGTTTGCTGTACAGATTTTAATTAAAAAGATCAAACTTTGTTTCACAACAGTCCAGAAATAGTAATGAGGTGAAGAGTAACACTTAAGTAATAGTCCCATTTTCATTTTTGAGGTCCTAGGAGGTAAGCAGATTGTCCAGGGTCAGCTTTTTATCTCTTTCAGTCCTTGTGTATGCCAGTATACCCTGACGTTTGAATTCCTTACTAAATGTATGCGAGATCATACTTAAAAGTAGTTTTATAAGTTACTTTAAGCTTTTTTTCTTAGAAATGCCTTTAAAATGACACCAGTAAATATATTTGAAGTTCATGTTAAGTGTTTGTTTTGATGCCAACTACAATTTACTCAATTTTAGGCTTGGGTGAATGCCATTTGATGATGGCCAAAGCAGCTCTGGTGGATTATCTCGATGGGAAAGCTGTGGACTACATAGAAAAAGCACTGGAATATTTTACTTGGTTAGTATCATTCTTACTGTATTGATTTTCTTATTCTGATAAGCTACATTTAGAAAGTTATTTTAGGACTATTCTGTTATGCAGCAATTATTTAGAATGCCAGACCTAAAGAACAGACTAGCCAACCAATGCTGTAACATCCTTGTACTGATTTCGCTTGTGCTCTGCAGTGGCTCGTGTGCCGAGTGTCCAGGAAGAGCAAGAAGCAGCCCGCTGTTAGTGGAGCAGTAGCTCTGACGCGTGCGTCAGTGTTCCCTCCCAGGAGGCCCAGAAATGGGTGCTGAGGGGAAACAGGGCTTCGGGCACACTATGCCTTGCATTTAGTGGTATGGGCCTGTTTGAGGTTTACTGATGGGCCTGAGGGGAAGGGGAAATGAGCAGTCTGGTTGCATCTGGAGAGACACTATGTAGAAAAGAGTGCTGTGTCTGGTAATAAGAAAGGAGTCAGAAAAACCTGAGTAGATGTGATACACACAGCACACACGTAAACTCATTAGGTAGAGCAGAAGTGTTATTTGTGGTAAATGATTTGAAACAGTCGGAAGGTTAGACAAAACACTTGCTTTTTTTTTTTTCTTGGAAACATTTTTCTTCTACTTCTCTTCCTTTCTTTTCCCATTTGTCTTTTCCTCTGCGTCCTATTTATTTGATTGTTCCAGAATTGCTTTTCATATGATTAAGATATGAAATGGTAAAAACCTAACCCTTTTTTCTCTCACTGACTTGTATTGCTGACTGTCAGATCTCATGTAGTATTCTTGCCACCAGCAAAGTTATTGTGAAGGGACATGCTTTGTTTGAACTGGTATTTAAAAGTAAATGTGAACCTGTGGGTGACAATCCTTTGTAACAGTCCTGTGTTCCTGAGCCTAGAAAATTTTATTTTGAATTATATAAGCATACTCATAACCAATTATAAGGTGATATATAGAACTTTTAAATTTTGATCCACAATGTATTTACTTCTAGCCTTAAAAGGAATTGGTACTATCAAAATTATTGTGTAAGGTTAAGAGAAGGTATTTCACTCTGCATGTTTTTTGTTTGTTTATTTATTTACATTTTTATTTATTTGAAACTCAGGGCAAGATCTTTCATCTGCTGGTTTATTCCCCAAATGCCTACAACAGCCAGGGCAGGGTCATTTTGAAGCCAGGAGCTCTGAACCCCATCTGAGTCTCCCACATGAATGGCAGGGACCCAGGTACTTGGCCTTCATTGCTGCCTGCTACAGTGTGCATTAGCAGGAAGCTGGAATCAGAAGTGGAGCCAGGACTTGCACCCCAACAAGGGATGTGGGTTCCTTAGCAGTGTCCCCACCACTACACCAAAGGCCCACCCCATATTTTATTTTTTATTTAACTTAAGTAAACTATTTAAATTGCTCATTTCCTTTTTCTTTTTTTCCTTTTTCCTTCATGCTATAAATTTTAAAAATTTTGCTAGATATTTGGGCAAAGGAACTCCAAATAGTGTTGTCCTTCCTCCTGATTCTCACAGCGGCTTTCTGTCATGAGTGCAGAAATCAGCGTTACTTCTCAGGAAGACATTGCAAGATGATTTTTGGCTGAACTCCTTGAATAACAGAGGCTATGAAAAATGTTCCATCTGCTTGTCCATCTGCCAGTAACATAGCCATTTGTGATGGCTGATTATTGACTTAAATGAAATTGCTGTGTTTTATTTATAAGATCTTGAGAAAAACAGAAATGTATAGCTGCAAATTTTCTCATTCTAAGAAGTACCCTCTGTCACTGTAATTAATATTTCTGTTTATTTTTGGGCTTATCCATTCAGTCAGCCGTTGGCTCTAAAAATGTGTTTTTTCATATTTTCGTGTTTACATTTTTGTTAGTTTTGATTTCAGAGAATAAAAATCAGATGGATCACCAAATATATCTGATACATTTATTAGTTTTATTTATTTATTTATTATTTTGAGGGAAGGTCTAAATGCAAAAACCTGAGTTTACAATAGCCCACTGTAAGAGAGTTATCAACTTTACTGTTGTGGTCATTGCTTAAACAAGTAAAAATAGCATAGTTTAAAAATTCAAAATTAGGTTGCTCTGAATAATCTGTTGACTTATTTGATCTCTGTTACTTCTAACAAAATGTTGACAAATACCCCCAAAATCTGCAAAATTTCTGAAACTGAAAAATACCGAGTTGCCCCTCCTCCGCTCTCTTCCTGCCTTCTTACCTTCCTGTTAGGAAGATGGCCACAGTGAGGGTAGGAGGAGGTTCATAAAGCATTCACAGTGCTTGACCCAGGAAGTAGGTTTTAATCTGGGTGGAATATACTTATTCTGTTTCAGCTGGAAGTAGTGACAAGGGAGATACCCTTTATACATTTTGGAAATAATTGGTGAACATCACACTGTTCCTTTTCATAGGGCCCTGCAGCAGCGAGCTGATGTGTCCTGCCTCTGGAAGCTGATTGGTGATGCCTGCACCAGCCTGTATGCTGTCTCACCATCCAAAGTGCACATTCATGTTGTAGGAGTCCTGCTCGGTCAGAAAGAAGGAAAACAAGTATTAAAGAAAAGTGAGCTCCTCCATCTTGGAGGAAGGTAACTTATGAAAATGATCAGTTAATGACATTCAAGTTGAATTAGGACATTAAAATCAAATGTGACATTCACATTTGTATTTCCACAGGTGTTATGGTCGCGCATTGAAACTAATGTCCACATCTAATACATGGTGTGACCTTGGGATTAATTACTATCGCCAAGTACAACATCTAGCAGAAACAGGCAGCAGCATGAGTGATCTTGAAGAGCTGCTGGAGAAATCTTTACATGTATGATTTTGGGAAATTTAAAAAAACCAAATGCTTTTCTGAGAAATATTTTTGAGAGAATGAATACTGTAGTATTTTCCCATAAAACCACATTTATCTTGATATAAATGTAAACACTCTAAGAAATAAAAATTAATTTATTTTATTTAATTTATTTTCAGTGTCTGAAAAAGGCAGTGAGACTTGACAGTAATAACCACCTGTACTGGAATGCTCTTGGTGTGGTTGCATGTTACAGTGGTGAGAACTGAGTAACACTTACTTCAATATTTTTAGAAGATTATGGGTTCCAGGTAACAGATTTCAATTTCAGTGAATTCTTTATTTTTCAGGTATTGGAAATTATGCCCTGGCTCAGCACTGCTTCATCAAATCAATCCAGTCCGAACAAATTGTGAGTGTTCTTTGTGTCTGTGAAAAAGAACTTCAGAATGTAATATTAAGAATGTTTTGGGCCGGCACTGCGGCTCACTAGGCTAATCCTCTGCCTGCGACGCTGGCACCCCGGGTTCTAGTCCCGGTTGGGGCGCCAGATTCTGTCCCGGTTGCTCCTCTTCCAGTCCAGTTCTCTGCTGTGGCCTGGGAAGGCAGTGGAGGATGGCCCAGGTCCTTGGGCCCTGCACCTGCATGGGAGACCAGGAGGAAGCACCTGGCTCCTGGCTTCTGATTGGTGCAGCGCGCCGGCCGTAGCGGCCACTTGGGGGGTGAACCAACGGAAGGAAGACCTTTCTCTCTCCGTCTCTCTCTCTCTCACTGTCTAACTCTGCCTGTCAAAAAAATAAGTAAATAAATTAAAAATTAAAAAAAAAGAATGTTTTGAGACTTCCAAGTACACAGGGACATGTGTGTGTGTGTGTATGTATATTTCATATCTATGTGTTTATTTTTCAGAATGCTGTTGCATGGACCAACTTGGGAGTGTTGTACCTTGCAAATGAAAACATTGAGGTAAATACGTTGTCTGTTTTGTCATCTTAAATATAAGGATGAATCATACCATGTGTCTCTTTCTCCACATTATGATCATTATCATAAATCCTTCACACTGTGATGTTAATATCTGTTAAAAAATAGTATATATGTGTGTATGAGCTGTACATTTAAAGTAAATGTGGCAAAACATTAAAAAATTATAAAAATATACATACAAAGAACATTTTCTATTTCTGATCTCTTTGTCATAGCTCAGTTTCTTGTGAAATATCTATTACTTGGTTGCCTATCTAGGATACTCTCCAGAATGCTAGTTAATTGATGGAATTCATTCCATTATGTTGAATAATGAACATGTAAGAGTTATTTTCTTTTCCATGATACTCTGGAAGCACCCAGTTTCATAATGTGTTGGTTTTTCACACTGAAGTGAAAATAATTCTATTGCGACTTAATTGAGTGTTTTTCTTTACATTTGTACACAAGTAAGAGAAGCAGACTGTTTGAAGTGGGTGGATGTAGGTGATGGAGACAACTAATCTCCTCTAATAGCTCAAATTTAACCTATGTTTGGGTGATTTAGATTTGGATTTAGTGGATATTGATCCCTTTAAATACCAGTGTGATCTGTCATACTTGAGCGGTTATACATTAAACTGGAACTAAGCTGGGAGCATTTTAAGTTTATTTCTTTATCGTTTTATCTATCTATCTGCCTATCTACTTAGCTACCTTCCTACCTATTTAATTTTGAGAGAGTGACAGAGAGCACTCCCATCCACTGGTTCACTGTTCAAATGCCTACAGTTGCTGGGACTGGGCCAGGGCTGGAGCCAGGAGCTGGGAATTCAAACCAGGTCTCCCATGTAGGTGGTAGGGACCCTGTTACTTGAACCATCTCCCCTGCCTCTCTGGGTCTGCTTTGCTGGGAAGCTGGAGTCAGAAGTTAAAGCCAGGGATGGAACTCAGGCACTCTGATGTGGGATGTGGATGTCTTGACCACTAGGCCAAACTCCCAGGCCCAGCATGTTTCTAAGCCATATTTGGAAAGTTTCCACTTGTCTGTTGATAATGCCACATCTGTACTCTTTGTATTTCAGCCAGTGTAATGGATCTTGTTCTTTTAAAACAGCCATAATATTCTCAGGGATCCTTCAACTCACTTCACATAAGAATGATGTTAGAAGACTAATAGATAGAAAAGATTAATTTGGATCTTAAGATACATGAACACATTCTCTAAAATTTCACATGGAAATGTGTTATTGACGATGAGGTATGCATGTGGTTTTATTATAATGGCACAGCTGTTGCCCATAAGCTAACTTTTTTATAAAAAAGAATAAGACTGTTTCCTGTCATACATATATGGTTGAAGAAACAGTATAAGGTAATGTGATTACCAGTTAAGAAAATAAAAAAAGCACGTCTGAGTGAAGTGTCTTCAAAGCTTTGTGACTGTGTTACTGGCTGCTCTTTCTTCATGGGCAGGTTCATGTCCCAGACCTCCTTGACTGAGTTCTTTTCCTGCCCTTTTAGCTCAAAGAGAAGGAAATAAATACCACCTCATTTAGTCATGTTCTTCACAAACTGTGGCTAGCAGATGTACATGTGTTGGCTTACCAGTTGTGCAGACTATGAGATAGACACACACACATATATATAGCTCTTCGTTGGGGATCAGAGCTCCTAATGTGAAGAGAAATCTACTGTACCCAGGAGTACTCCAGGACTGTGTTGCTGAAACACTGCAGTAAGCATTGCTGAGTTGTTCGTAAACAGTGGAGTTCTCAGTCCATGTGTATGTGTGACGATAGACTTGACTTTTCTTATCCTCTTGTTTTATGGTTTTTAAACATAAACAATTTAAGACTGATTTTACAAAATGACATGTTTTCTTGTGTTTTTCCCCTAGCAAGCTCATGAAGCTTTCAAAATGGCTCAGTCCCTTGATCCATCTTACTTAATGTGCTGGATTGGACAAGTAAGATATATAGTCACTAATGATTACCTGTTGATGTATATAGCCTATTAATAGAAATTGACAAACAGTATATTAATATAAATAATAATGATAATGAGTACATTTGAGGATATAACTTTGTACGAATCCCTGTACTTAGCTCTTTGTATACATTGTTTCCATTTATTTCATCAATCCTGTGAGTTGTGATTGTTAAACTCTTTATGGATGTGAAATTGAAGCACAGAGATCCTAAGTATCACATCTAAAGTCACACAGCTTAAAATGATTAAGTGTTGATTTTAAGGGATTTTGAACCCCATCAGTCTAAATACTATGCCTAACTCATGTGTAAGAGGAACTGCGCATGTGTAGAGATCATTTTGATTATTTTGTTCTCTTATCTTATGTAAACTCTTGCTTGATTGGGTACTTGGTGAATCTTCTCTCCTCCTCCAAGTTGAGAGTTTTGTTCTGCCAGTTAGAGGAATCAGTGTACTCAGTCACTAGTCTCAGCTGTCATTGACTGGGTTTTGTTTTGTTTTATTTTGTTTTTCTAACCTGAACATGTCACTTCTTTCATTTTAATTTCCTCACCTGGAAGAGAAGGAAGTTTGACCAGGTAGCCTCCAGTGTCATGCCTAGCTGAGAAATTATGATGAATTAGTAAGCAGTTGATTGTTTTGGTCAAAGAATATTAGGGGCACCAATCCTATCAGAAAGTTATTTATTAGCATTTGATAGCTTTTATAGGACTTTGGACTCTTGGTCTAAATCTGGTCCATTGGTAAAGCAATCTCCCTGTTAACTATGGAGCAGAGGCATTACTGTGCTAGCCCGGGCGTCACTTAGTGAACATAGAGAGCCTGGAGTCTGCTTTTGTACCTGCTGCCAGGGGATGAGGCTGAGGCTGGTCCAGGAACCTCACTTGGGATAGTAGAGTTTAGATGCTTTTCAGATCAGCTATTTATGTATATCTATTTTTTTTCTTAGAGACAATTTATTTCAGGAAGTATGTTTAATTAAAATGTTAATATAAGTCAAAATTTACTTTTAAGTTTAGGCATTAAACCTTTGGTTCTTCTAATTTCATGTATCTCTGTTATAACTGTTCTTTTGAACATACTAGGAGCCACTTTTTTCCTTTTGTAGGCTCTTATTGCAGAGACGGTTGGAAGCTATGATACCATGGATCTCTTCAGGCACACCACAGAGCTCAGTATGCATGTAAGAAACTTGAGTGTTCCTCTAAGGACTCAGAAGTTAATCAAGTACTATCCCTTTAAGAAAATGTATAGCCAGTGGTGTAAGATGTCAACGACAGCAGTTCTTTCCACTCTGTATTCTTGCCTAGAAAAAATTAGCTGTTTTTAAAGAACCTCTAGTTTCATCTTCCTATCAGCTCTTGAAACTGAAGAAATGACACTGAGATTTAATAGTTACATTAGCAGTTATATAGAGAAGAAACTGAAACTCTAGGAATAAAAATGGACTTGAGCCGAAGATCACACTCAGTTGACATTTCTAGATTATTTGTGAAATTATCTTAAAATTCTTTGGTGTGACCTATATAGGAATGGTGCTGAGCAGAGGGAAACCAGCACATCTGGTGAGGCTCCGTTGTCTGCTCTTTGTTTATCCCATTTGATTCCTCTACTTAGTATGGGAGCCAGTGACTTAAATATGTTCTTAGCTGTGTTTTATCATAGTGATATTTCATTTAAAGGCACTTAAAGAAGACTAAGATATGATACTTACAGTGTTGCAGTGCATTACTTCTGAATTTTTATCGACTTAGTTCTTACCATTTGCTAATGTTGGCTTTTTTAAAGACTGAGGGAGCAATAGGTTATGCATATTGGGTCTGCACAACACTGCAAGATAAAAGCAACAGAGAAACAGAACTGTACCGGTACAACATCCTCCAGATGAATGCTATTCCAGCGGCACAAGTTGTTTTGTGTAAATACATAGGTAAGATACCTCTTATATAAATGCCAAGATATTTTCATAACTTTTGAAATTACTTAAAAGAATTTTTACAATTAATTTGTTCCAAATTAAATGTGAGTGTCCTTTAAAACATGACTTTGCCATGTTCCCCTACTGGCCAAGCAGTCTACTTTTTAAACTGCAGGAAGGGCTCTTGAACAGTGATGAAAATCACTTTTACTTAGTGATTCAGGATAAAAGTGGTTTCCTTGTTTACAGTGGAAAGGATTTTGGAGCCTAATGGGTTTGAGCTGCTGCTGCTGTGGCTCCACCGTTGGCCCTTCTCACAATCTCAGGCCAAATATTTCATGTCCCTTGACGTCTCTTTATTCTTTGGAAATTATCAACAATAATACCCAAGTTGTAGTTATTTAAATGAGTTAATGTACATGAAGCCCCAAACTCAGGGCTTTTAACCTCCTCCTTTCACATCTGATTTATCTTCAGGATACTGGAAAAATAGGTTTAGATTTAAGAAATCAGCAAAATGATAAAATTTTATTAACCTTCTATTGTAATAATTTTCTGTCTTCTTTTATAAAACTGCCACTGGCTTTTCATTTCTGCCGCAATACTTAGTAGCTACAGTTGAAATCTTAGGCATAATACAAAATTGGATTTTAGATTTCTCATCTGTAGTACAAGCAGCAAAATACCTATTGCCTTGGGTTTAGGAAAGATGATTTATACAAAATATCCCACAGAGTACCTGGTGTACCCTGGACGCTCAAGAAGTGCTGGTCTGTTAGCTTCTGACAAAATGTTAATGAAGCGAGAAGGAACTTCAGCAGGAGTATTATATTAGCAGTAAATACTGACCTGTCATATGAAGAGGGGACATGCCCCATCATAGACGTGGAAGGGACTGGGGAGTGTCATAATCTTCATGCCTTTGGTGTAGAGCACTGGCGTGGGAGGAAGTTAGTTTACAAACATGGTCCCTTTAGGACACAGTCGTCTCATCCACCATGCCAGAATGAGTGCCTCTGATAGGAACTGAGAGCTGAGCAGTGTGTGGTCAGAAACTTCACAGAGGGGCTTCCTTACAGAATGAGGGCAACCTTCAGCTTGCAGCAGAATTTAGGTACTTAAAGCAGTGAACAAATCTACCAACTAATTCATAGCTGTTTAGCTTCTTTTTTTTTTTTTTTTAAACTGTAGTGGAGTCCTGTATTCATTTAGCAAATTCAACTTTATGTGCTTGTCAAAAAGAAAAGAAGCAGGAAAGAGAAAGTGCAGATCACCTCGTGTCTGTCCTGTTTGCCTTGGGGTTTGTGTGCCATGTCGAGCATGGAGCTTCTCCTACTCATCTTGACCCAGTTTTTGTGACTTTTTCCTCCTATGGAGACTTTAGGAGTTTTTCAAGAATGACTGTGTGGTTTTCACTTTATGCTTTGACATTAGGACATCTCACATTAGATATTATTAAATTGTATTTTGTTAGGTAGTTTAAGGGGTTTGAAGATTAGCTTCTAATCCACTTTTAAGTAGATTAGATCAGATGTTTATAAAATATGAACACAACTAGAAACCATCTACAACTCTCAAGTATTTTTTAGTAACTTAAAAGTTATAAAGTGGTTACTGGCATATTCCAGATAAAGTCAGATCATTATTCTTTTATTTTTTAAAGATTCATTTATTTATTTGAAGGTTAGAGTTACACAGAGAGAGAAGGAGAGGCAGAGAGAGAGAGAGGTCTTCAATCTGCTTGTTCACTCCCCAGTTGGCTGCAATGGCCAGAGCTGTGCCAATCCAAAGCCAGGAGCCAGGAGCTTCCTCTGGGTCTTCCCATGCAGGTGCGGGAGTCCAAGGACTTGGGCCATCTCCTGCTGCTTTCCCAGGCCATAGCAGAGAGCTGTATTGGAAGTGGAATAGCCGGGACTTGAACCGGCACCCATATAGGATGTCGACACTGTAGGTGACATTTTTACCTGCTATGCCACAGTGCCAGCCCTCATTATTAACAAGGACAATGATCTCGTGTTTAAGATACTGGAAAAATTGAAAATTAAACTAATATTTTTTAACACAACCAGCATATGCATGTAAATGTATTTCTGAATTTTCAGAAAGAATTCAGAATTATGCTCCAGCCTTCACAATGTTGGGTTACCTGAATGAACACCTGCAACTGAAAAAGCAAGCAGCAGATGCATACCAGAGGTAAGTCACAGTCCATCCAAGTGCAGGCCCCGGCTCCCCATCAGCCTTCTCACACCTGGTCTTGTCCTGAAGACAGTACTGAAGAAATGTTCTCGTTTCCTGATTCTCATTGTATATTATCTTTTTATATTACATCTTAGCACGTGAAGACACAGTCCCCAATTTTCAGCTTTATTTTGGTTTCTGTTGTTAAGAAAGAGAGAGAGAGATTGAAAGGAAAGACAAAACTGAAAGAAAAGACAAAAATCTCCTCAGAATCTGTTTTAGAAAAATCTTTGTCCATGGGAATTTACCCAACTTTAATTCTTAACATGTGTTCAGTGAGACAAGCAATGATAACATTACTCTGTATTTGAATCCCTTTATTATCTGCCTTGTATTTATTTATCCAGTGTCTGTTTCTTGAACTGCTGTGTGCCACGCAGTGTCCTGGACACTGGCCATTTAGCAGTGAATTCAGACACTACATAGGTGCCTTTATGGAGCGCACACCTGGAGGTGGGAGACATGGGAGAAGCTGAGAAGTCTCCGCGATAACAATAATTACTAAGAAAGCCACTTGAGGGGAAAGGAGCAGAGAATGTGGAGGTAGGAAGAGACATTTCAAGAGGTTTTAAGAAGGGTGGGTTTGCTGAGGAGGCAGCTGAGGCCCGGCCTGAAGGAACTGAGCTATTTTGTTGACTTGCCATTTGGTTATCCTGGCAAGACTGTCCCAGGCAGCGGGCAAGTGCTCTGAAGCAGGAGCGGACTTGGCCTGTTCATGGCACAGGAAAGCCAGCGTGCTGGACTGGAATGACCAGCCCGGACAGCAGTGTGAAATGAAGTCTGCATAGAGTTCTGTGACTGCCAGGTAATAGACAGGCGAATGAGAAAATAGCCGTGGACCTCATGAGTAGCTGCGAGATGAGAAGCTGGAAGATCCTGTGGCCTAACCTCTGAGTCACTTTATTGCCCTGAATCAAAGCAGATATTTAGAAGAAGCCTTATCAGGTCAAAAATTAATTGAATTGTCCCAAAAGCTTCGCTGTGTCCTATTTATTTGGATCTCTCTGTAGTTCAAAGGAGTCATCACTAGGTGGTACTGGAGGCATCATCAAGGAAGTGTTCCTCCAGTTGACAGGGAGAGAAGTTCATGAAAAACCATAATTTTGTTTCCTTCAGTTATAGTAAACTTACAAGTAAGCAAACGGTATGGTAGAATCAACAGTGGATGTGATTTTCAAAGAAGGAAAACGAGGCAGCGTTGGGGCGGGGGGTGCTTCCTGCGTGACTGCAAACACTGCATCCCACGCTGCGTGCACCGGAGGCTTGCAGTGGCAGCTCCACGGTCCTCGCAGTGCTGTCTTCTGCCTTAAACAAGAACTTGGGGTTTTGATCTCTGTGAGGCTGTCTTTTAGGTGTCCCTAAGTTTCCTTCATGTTGCAACACTGTTGATAAAAAGCTGTTCTTGAATTTAAAGAAACCCTGAGAAATCCTCCCTAAACAGAAAAGGAAATACAAAGCCTTACCTAACGGCAGCCTCTTGTGAGTTGTTCAGATGCTTCTGTCCCGGCCCAGGACGGAGCACGAGAAGGAAGTGAGGCTGCCAGTGTGTGGGTGTCTTCACCCTTATCCCCCAGGCCCCTCTGATGACTTGCTCCCTTGCCTCAACTCACTGGTAACCATTGTTCCGTGTACTCAGGCAAGGGCCCATGGAAGTGCTCAATTGCCTGCCTTCCCAATTCCAATACTTGTATATCAGTATCTTCACAAGTGTTTTCTAGAAACTCCGAATACGTCAAAACGTAACATCACAATATGCTCATTTCCTGCATTTAGATTAAAATTTTGAGACTATTTGGCACTCAAATATGATACATGATATCACTTAATAAGAGGTAAGTTTACTTGAGTTATTTTCGTGATGACCTAAAATCTAAATTTTAGTTTTGTGGCACCAACTTAATAAAATATGAGTAAGCAGTTATAATTGGCAGTAAAGAATTCATAGGGTTAAATAAAGAGAACAAAAGTCTGTAGAGTCAGCTAAGGAGGAAAGATAAGCAGTAGGTAATTAAGCATGTAGATAACTTAAAATGTTGTTCTTTTTTTCAGAGCAATTTTGTTGTCTGCAGAAGACAAAGATACGTACAATGTTACTGTAAGACATTATGGTAGATTGTTATGGTAAATACTTTTTTTTGCCATGAGTGCTGTGACTCTGTTGGATTTTCCTGGTGAAAGCTGTGGGACTGCGGAGATGATGACAAGATTCCAGAGTAGCGGAACTTACAGGACACATAATTCCCATGTTCCAGCCTCTGCTGTTTCCCTTCCCTGTAATGACACGTAACTCCATATTGCTTTCTGAGGAGCAGAGGAGAACTTTGGGAGAGAGCGAGTGCTGTCTCTAATAGCAGAATCCTCGTTAATGGACAAGGAGTTGCTTTCATCCGGATTTGCTATATATTCTTAAGCTGACGCTTAAGCATTAGTGGTTCAGCAGCCCCTTTAAAATGGTACACGAAAATGTGGGGGACGGTGAGGGAGCTATATATCTTTCCTCAAATTGTCAGAGATTTCTGATTAAGAACCGGTTGTTTAGAGGACCAGAGAACACAAGTAATATAGGAGAAAGGTTTTGACTCAAGGTAGGATGGCCCTCCTTCAGTTTTGAGCTGTGGAGGCACATTAATTAATTATTAATTAATAATGTGGAGGCACATTAAAATTATGGTATAAATGTTTGGGGATTGGTGTCTCCATCGACTAAGAAGTTACATGGTAGAGACCTGAGGTCACGAGTTCTTTTCTAACTATGTAACTGAGTTATATGCATAAATAGGAAAATTTTTCTGTGCTGACTGCCTTTCCTATCAGTTCTTTTAAACTGTTACATTTGTCAGTTAGCAGAGCTCTGTCTGCAATTTTATTGAAGCGGAGGACAGATACTGTAAGAAATTGTGGGGAATGAAATATCTGTTCATTTTCATTTTAATGTTTCATGTAATTTAAGTATTTTAGAAAGAAATCTATACCTTCCATTGATAACAGGTCTTTTTCATTTTTTATTATGAAATACATTAAATATGCAAGCATATAATGAGTAATAAAATATAGAGCATACATTAACAAATAGTCACCACTCAAATGTGACAGCTTAAAATTCTGTCAATTTGCTCCAGCTTTCTTTAAAAAAAAAAAATAGACAAATAGCATCGAAGCCCCTTTATGCCCCTCTCTCATTTCATTCTTTTCTCCACGAAAGTAATTGTGTCTTTGAAGATAGTGTTCATTGAAAGACAAACCTCTTTTTTTTTTTTTACACTTTTTTGTTTTGTTTTTGAAGACATTTTCTTTATTTGAAAGACAGAGTTACACAGAGAGAGAGAGAGAGGTGTCCTCCATCCACTGGTTCACTCCCCAAATGGCTGCAACAGCCAGGTCTGGGCTGATTGGAAGCCAGGAGCAGGAGCTTATTCCAGGTCTCTCATGTCAGTGGTGGGGCACATGCTTTTCCATGCACATTACGTTAGCAGGGAGCTGGATTGGAAGTGGAGCAGCCAAGTGCTCATACGGGATGCTGGTGTCACGGGTGGTAGCTTAACCTGCTACACCACAACACCTGCCCCTAAACACTGGTTTTTAAATGCATAGTTTTTTCCTCTGGATTTTTAGTGGGTCTGTATGCCCTCCAAGAAAATGGGTGTTCAGGTAAATAGTTTATCCAAAGGCTAAGTTTGATGCAGACAAGATATTTTATGACTTGTTATACTTGTCAAAAATGCTTGAACTATACCCACAGGATGATAGTTAACTAAAATGTTAAGCTTAGAAAATTAGAGTTCTATATAAAAGCCAACTTGGATTTTTACTGGGGTTTTAAATAAAATTTGCTTAAAAGAAGATACTTTGTGATTTAGCAGAACCTGTTATTTTCACATGTAATTCAAAAGGAGCAGTGTGTGAAGTCAACATTGAATCCCCCCAAATACATTCTAATTGTGATATACTTTCTATCTTGGGTCTTTTCTAGAACTTCAACTCTAATAGGTTATTGTTTACTGAATCACCTCTGTAAAAAAGAAACTACACGTGAAGTTATTAAAATAACCTTAATGTAATTGTAGCTCTCTATTTTGCTTTCATAATCCAAAGTGTTTTTTTTGACATTAAAAGTAAGTTGTGCTTTGCTTCTTAGTTCCATTGGTGAATATGATAAAGCTATCCAGGCTTTTAAGTCAACACCTCTGGAAGAGTTAGAAGACATCGTAGGTTTCGCATTGGCTTTATTTATGAAGGGGCTATATAAAGAGAGCAGCAAAGGTAAGGATAGTGCTTGATGCTGATGAACAGATGTTTCCAAAGCTGAGTAGAGGTTAATCATGATAAGCTTAAATATAGAAGGGTTAACTGGGTATGGGGAGGGAGGAGTGCAGTGTTTACTGAAATCTGACTAGGAGTCCCGAGGGATCCTAAGAACTTTTTATCTGTGACTCCACTTCAAGTACTATGAATAGTCCTTGTAGTACAGTACTAGGACTGTTCATTGTACAGATAGGGAAACCAGGGCTGAGATCATCTGCAGTAGACATGGAATTAGCCTTTGTTTGTTTGTTTTAAAGATTTATTTAGTTATTTGAGGGAAGAATGAAAGAGAGGATTTTCCAAAGCTGCTGGTTCACTCCCCAAATGGCCGTGATCTCCTGGGCTAGGCAAGGCTACAGTCAGGAGCCAGGAACTCCACCTCGATCTCCCATATGGGTGACAGGGACCCAACTACCTGAGCCATCTTCCACTGCCTTCCCCGGTGCTGAATCGGAAGCAGAACAGCCAGGGCTCAAAGATGACACTTAGATATGGGCTGCTGATGTTATAAGTGGCAATCTACTTGCTGCTCCACAATGCGGACCCCTATGAACTAGCGTTTGAAGGCCTGTGTTCACAACCCTGCACTGCTTAAATGTTACTAATAGTAGATCTTGATTTCTCCAAAAACATTAACTGAGTAAATTTTCACGTAGGTGGGCCCAGCCGGTATATATGCAACTCATTCAAATGTGGTCTGCTAGGCGGAGTTGCTGGTCTGCACCAGTGGGTTATGGTGGTGTCACAGCTGTGCAGGCCTCCACTTCTGGCCCAGCCTGGCCTTTAAAGACAGCCATTGTGGCCTCCTTATAGATTGTGAAGGTAGAAGTTGGGGATAGTCATGTGATAGGCCTAGGGATATTCCCACAGTCACATTGGAATAGCTCATCCAGTGTTGCATTACTATGAATTTTTATTCCAGCCTCTAGAAAATAAGGGAACAACAAATAAGGTACAGTTTTATTTAAGCATTTTTTGAAAAATGAGATTGGGAAATGAAAAAATCCTACACTTCATCTATCAGTATTGCTTTCATGTTTTCTTGTTTCCAATTCTAACAGCTTATGAGAGAGCCTTGTCTATTGTTGAATCAGAGCAAGACAAAGCCCATATCTTGACAGCTCTGGCGCTAGCAGAATATAAACAAGGAAAACTGGATGTAGCCAAGACATTGCTATTTAAATGGTATGTACAGTTGATCTAAGCACTTAACATTACCATATAGTTGGAGCAACATAGATTGAAGTCTTAACATTTCAGGAACTTTGAACAAAAAGGATTGGGCCCACATCGTTCTGAATAAACAGTGAAGTGGAGCTAGAGATCATGGCTTCATTCTTAGCCCTGGAACCACCCAATCCTTCAAAACTTTCCTCTACTCTGTGTGTTATTGTTATGTTGTAAACAGTATTTAACCACGTGGTCAAGAATGACCTTAAAATTTTAATGAAGGTAATAAATAACTGGTTTATTTTTTGGCATCTTGGATCCCCGAAGAGATTTGTTTCCTCTTTTCTTTTCAAGTTAGCTTACTAAAATTTCATTTAAAGATGAGTCTTTAAAAAAATTGTCCCAGTAGAACTTTTAGCTATTGCTATGCTTTTGGAATAAGTTAATAAAATAACAGCTTATGTATCTATGGTTATTTTATACTATTTTTTGATTTATTGGAATTTTTTCTTTTAAATACTCATTCATTTATTTGAGAGACAGAAAAGAGGTGGACAGAGAGCTTCCATCCACGGATTCAATGCTAACAGTGATGGCCCTCTATCTGTCTCTCCTAGTTTCTCTGCCTCTCAAATAAAGAAATTTTTCTTGGAAATTAAAAGAAAATCTTGTCATTTTACAGGATATATTCTTTTGACATATATTTGTGCCTATATATAGCAAGTTCAGAGATTCCATATGCAAATGGCTTGCTGCCAAGAATCAGATGGCAAATGATTACCCCAGTTATCAAGGGCAAAATTAGACACATTTGTTAGTCTTTGATTATTACTTAAACCCAAATCATTTTGAATATTGGTGGAACTGGGAAAACATAACAGTATAATCTGTGCTTTTTTGCTAGGAGTAGAACTTTTACCCCCTTGTTTTGGCTTGTTGGATCCAGGGCTGGGCCTTTTTTCTGCTTTATGTTTCTGTCTATGGTTTTAGTCCTCTTAATGTCATCATGGAAACTTAACACTACCAACTGTTCTCACCCCCAGCCCTTGGCATTCTTTACTGTGACGTTCTTTATATGGAAAGCTCATTGTTGCCTGTTGTTTGTTGGTTGATAGTCTTACATTGGAAAATGAGTAGTGTCCTAAAAATGCTTACTGTATGAGGGGAAAAAAGATCTGGTTACCAATTTTCTAGATTTGAGAATAAGAAACCACATGGGGGCTGGCACTGTGGCACAGCAGGTTAACGCCCTGGCCTGAAGCACGGGCATCCCATATGGGCCCCGGTTTGAGACCCGACTGCTCCTCTTCCGACCCAGCTGTCTGCTGTGGCCTGGGAAAGCAGTAGAGGATGGCTCAAGTCCTTGGGCCCCTCCACCCGCGTGGAGACCTAGAAGAAGCTCCTGGCTGCTGGCTTTGGATTGGTGCAGCTCCAGCCGTTGCGGCCAACTGGGGAGTGAACCAGCGGATGGAAGACCTCTCTCTGCCTCTGCCTCTACCTCTCTGTGTAACTCTGACTTTCAAATAAATAAATAAATCTTTAAAAAAAAAAAAAAAAAGTAAGACCACATGGGAAACCCCTGAAATGTGGTAAAAGAGTACATGCATGCAGACACTGAAATTTTAACTCCTTCTTAATACTGGAATGTAGTCATTTCAGTTATAATTTGGATTTTGTATGTTAATGTTATAACAAGGTTTTTATCCTTTTGAGTCAAGGCACAAGTTAGAATTTCTTCTTTTGTTATCAATATTGGAATTTTTTAAAAAGATTTTGTTTATTTATTCATTTGAGAGGTAGAGTTATAGTGAGAGGGAGAGACAGAGAGAAAGGTCTTCCTTCCATTGGTTCACTCCCCAGATGGCTGCAATGGCCGGAGCTGTGCCAATCCAAAGCCAGGAGCCAGGTGCTTCTTCCTGGTCTCCCATGTGGGTGCAGGGGCCCAAGCACTTGTGTCAACCTCCACTGCTTTCCCAGGCCACAACAGAGAGCTGGATTGGAAGAGGAGCATCTGGGACTAGAACTGGTGCCCATATGGGATGCCAGTGCCACAGGTGGAGGAAGATTAACCCACTGTGCCACAGCACCGACCCTGGATTTTGTTTTTTTTCCTTTTTTGCTTTCTTACTTTCACCAACTGACCATGTAGGTTATTGACAGAAGTGGCACTGACTGAAGTGTTTTCATATTTGAACTCCTACGTCTATTAAATTCTTACTGTGAATTGAAACTTTAAGCTACTTACTCCAGAGCTGCTTTGTAAGAATTTGTTATTTCATACCTGTTTATCAAAATTAAGTACAAAACACCTAATTTCCTCTTCCCCCAAAAATAGTTCAAAGACTTAGTGGAGACATGTGATATTTTATAAAGTAATGAATATTTCTGTTATATGTTAGTGAACTTTTTTTAAAAGCTTTGGAATTTCCCTTGTTTTATCATAGTGTAAAATTTATGATAATAATTAGAAGTATTAAGCTTGTAGAGAGCTACGTGTTCTTTATTGAAATTAACAAGGATTTCTAAACATTAGTGACTTTCACTTGTATAAGGCTAAATCAGTTTTTGCAGTTGAAGGAGAAAACAAATGCTAAGTATTTACATACAAAATTTAAATTCTCTTTAAATTGTAAAAATACTAACTTGGAGTATGGTAAATATAGATATAGTTTGTACTTATTATATAAAATGCTGGTTTCAGTACCACACAGCTTATGAGGACAAAGCTCCATCAAAAGGATAAAATCAGATTTTGCATTAAAATTGTTTTTTTTTTTTTAAGATTTATTTATTTATTTGAAAGAGTTACACAGAGAGAGGCTCCAGAGAGAGAGAGAGAGGTCTTCCATCCGATGGTTCACTCCCCAAATGGCTGCAATAGCTGGAGCTGTGCGGAAGCCAGGAGCCAGGAGCTTCTTCCAGGTCTCCCACATGGGTGCAGGGGCCCAAGGACCTGGGCCATCCTACACTGCTTTCCCAGGCTATAGCAGAGAGCTGGACAGGGAATGTGTGGGGAGCAACTCGGACTGGACTAAGTTACTGGAATTAAGACTTATTTTATGCATCTGCTCTCCCACAATATGGTGCTGGGAGAGAAAACAGCTTCTACACAGCTGCCTCCAGTTCAGCCAATAAACTGTAGGACTTGCTCCTGATTGGAGGAGAGCAGCGTACTCGGCGTGTGGGCAGCTGAGTTAGGATTGGCGGAGGAGGACTATAAAGGAGGAGAGAGACGGCATGCACCAGGAACATCTAACGGGAACATCTAAGGGGAACACCTGTGCAGCCCCCGAGAGAGCCGGCCGGCGGTGTGCCGCTCCCCTGCGGAAGTGGGGAATGTGGCCAGGGGGAACTGCCCTTCCACGGAGGTGGAAGGGACAGTAGCCAACCCGGGAAGAACCAGCAGCAAACCCGGGGAGGGCCGAGCAGACGAAAGAACAGCGCAGGGTCCTGTGTCGTTCCTCCACGAAGAGGGGGAGCGACAGAATGGAGCCAACTGGGTCTTGAAACAGCGCCCATGTGGGATGCCGGCGCTTCAGGCCAGGGTGTTAACCCACTGTGTCACAGTGCCAGTCCCAAAATTGTTTTTCTTTATTTATATTTCTAGGATTTTATTGAAACAATATTTTTAGCAAAATTGTTCTCATTGTTTACCTAGGACTTGATGCCCAAGGAGGCTGATCTGTATTTGTTTCTAAACCTTAGCTGTAGTGCCCAGGAAAGAACTGTAGCTGTTGTTCTCTGAAAGGCATTGGTACTTTACACCGCATCAGCCAAGGGAATTGCTGTCTCCAAAAGCCAAGGAGTTTTCTCTCTTATGTTAATCTTCAAGCTGGCCTTACTGTACTGGGTTTTTTTGTACTAGGCATTCAGTATGCTTTAATAGTTACAGAGAAAGGCTGCTGTACGCATGGTTAATAGCCAGTCTGAACATGTGTTTACAGCTCTATCTTAAAGGAGCCGACCACCGAAAGCCTTCAAGCCCTGTGTGCCCTCGGCTTGGCCATGCAGGATGCTACCCTGTCCAAAGCAGCCCTGAATGAGCTACTGAAGCACGGCAAGCACAGAGGCAGTGATTACCAGAGGTGCCTTCTGACGTCAGCGATCCATGCACTCCAGGGCCGCAGCGTGGCAGTGCAGCGACAGGCGTCCAAGGCTGTTCACAGGTGAGTTCTGGACTTGTGTCCTTGGGGCCTCATGACATGGAGAGGACTGATGTGGTTGTGTTCGACACTTGGGTTTTACTCAGACTGTGCTGCGAGGTCAGCATGTGTATGTGAAAGCCCAACTCTGGTGTTATGAAGTTGTGTGTGGGATTAGGTAATGGTCTGTGTTGCTTCACCTGTTGGGATTTTTATTTTTATTTATTTTATTTGACAGGTAGAGTTAGACAGTGAGAGAGAGAGACAGAGAGAAAGGTCTTCCTTCCGTTGGTTCACCCCCCAAATGGCCGCTACGGCCAGTGCGCTGTGCCAGTCCGAAGCCAGGAGCCAGGTGCTTCTTCCTGGTCTCCCATGCGGGTACAGGGCCCAAGGTCTTGGGCCACCCTCCACTGCCCTTCCAGGCCACAGCAGAGAGCTGGACTGGAAGAGGAGCAACTGGGACTAGAACCCAGTGCCCATATGGAATGCTGGCACCGCAGGCAGAGGATTAACCAAGTGAGCCATGGCACTGGCCCTTGGGATTTTTATTTTTAATTCAGTTGATAAATTTGTCCTTATTCCAGTTCAGACCCAAACCTTTTTGCATCTGTCAGATGATTCTGTTCACATTGATAGTTTCAGGAGTTGCTGCCTACTTGAATATTATTGTCTTCAAAATTTGGAAACTAGAAAGCTGTCATTTTTAACCACGGTTCTCATTTTCTTGTCTGCAGTACAGTGTTCTATCTGTAGTTTGTTCTGCTATAGTCCCTTCTTATTAACGGTATTTACAGGTTATATTTTTTTAAAAAATTACTTTAATATAAAGCTTACTCTACTATAGTGCCATTTCCTTTAGAAATCATTCTCCTACTATACAGTATTATTTCTCCTATAATTTTTATTATCTTTTTGGTTTCTTTGGACATAGTGTATTACTTTTCCTTAAGTTTTCTTAATTGTCTTGTGTTTTTGTAGTCATCCTGTTGCTGTTTTTTTCTTGTTTCCATGAGAACTCTTGTTGTATATTGGAAATAAAGAGCGTGTTTTCCAAAAGTCAAGATACTTTCAACCAAACGTGAACAATTAATATAAACTTGTTATTGATGGTTACAAGATTTTAAACTTAATGAAACATTAGTTGTCTACTCTGGTTAAGTAACTCCTGTCTCTAAGCCTGCTCCTCTGGTGACCTCTGCAGTAACCCAGCTGACCCTGCTCTTTGGTCCCTGTTGGCCCGTGTTGTTGCTCAGCATGCCCAACGAAATGCAAAGGTGAGTCGTGTTCTGAATTCTGGCCAAGTGGCAGAAGAACTTGTGATATGGTGTGAGCATGATCATTTCAGCATACAGCATTGTTTTTTCCTAGAAGATATTTAATCTGGTGAAGGGAATTCTGTTCCATTAGTCATTGAACAAGTACTAGATTGAGTGTCCTCCACGTGCCGTTGTACTATTCTGGATAGTGGTGGTCAATAGAGAGAAGACAAGAGCCATTTTGAACACATACAGATTATGTTAGTGGCCGTGTGATAAAATAATGTTTATAATGTGGCTGTATAAGAAGCATTGGCTGTTGTATTTTTAAATCCCCAAAGATAGCTTTATCTATTCTTAAAGGTAAGGCAGTAGTACCTGTAATGCTGTAAATATCAAGAAATGTGTGTATAAATTCACTGATGTTCTATAAAGGATTGTGCACTGTTTCCATTTATAGCAGCCAAATATTTTCAGGAATTTTCCTTCTAACATATCTGATTAATATGTGCATTCATAGTTCATTTAAACTGACTGGTAAATATCATGGTCATAATAGATAATATGTTTTAATATTACCATGCCTAATAATTCTGGTCTCTAAAATCTTTATGGTTCTGTTTTTTTTTTTTTTTCTTACTATGAGTGCTTACTCATGGTAGCTTTGTTTATTTATTTACCTAATTGTGTGTGTGTGTGTGTGTGTGCATGTGTGTGTGTGAAAGTTTTTTGTAATAATTTGAGGCTGAGGATTAAGATACCTTTCTCTAGAAAGAATTTGTACTTGCTTCTGACAGGTGTTTGGAGCTGTACCAATCTGGGGCCACCATTAACAAGATTTAGAGCTTGAGGTTGCAAGGTTATTTGAGTCTTGGCTTAATTCTGATTCACTTAGAGCCTGAAGCTGTAGCCCCTTAGAGTCTCAGCTTTTCTGATAGGGGTTTTCAATACACTTCCCACTTTGTGTGAGCCCTGGATGTTAATTTCTGTCCCACAAACCCATGAATCCTTCAAGATAAAAATTAAAATTTATTATTAGGATCTGCAAGGTAAGTGGCTTCTCTGCTCACCCGTCCCAGATTCCAGCTTTTGCTCTTGGTTTTGGCCTGGCAGTTCCTTAATAACTTGTCAGTTAGTCAATGCTTTGAAGAATAAGTTTTTAAATATTCTATCCCAGTACTTCTCACGCTTTAATGTGCAGCTGAAATCACCTGGTGACTATGTCAAAATACAGATTGTGATTCAACAGCTCTGAGCTGGGGCCTAATATTCTGCCTTGGTAATAACCTCCCAGAGAGTGGCCGTGCGGCTGACACACAGGGCACAGTTGAGGAGCGAGGTTTTCTCCCAGATTTTGAATGACTTGAGTGGATAGCATGGTTTAAAAGACCTGGAACACCATTGCTATCAGACAGCAGAATGAAGTCCTTACTATTTGTCTGCTACTGTGCTAAGCCTTTTCATGTATTTGATCATTTAATCTCAACAGTCGTAAGAAGTAGGAGCACTTATTGTCACTATTTATAGAAGGAAATGTGAGACAACAGGTTAAGTAACTTGAATGGTTGTAGGAATGGGATTCATTTCCAGATCTAATTCCTGGAGCGTCTTTCCACTCTGCTGTGTTGCCTGCCTTCTTTTTAGTCCATCTCTCTGTTTTGCATTGACATACTGTTAGAAGTTTGTTATTAGCATTCTTTATATACACTAAGTACAATTTTGAAAACACTTCTGATAGACTTATGATAAGAAATGAAAGGTAGAGTATACTTCTGATATAGAGTCATTCACTTTTTTTCCAAATAAAATGTCTCATTTTGAAGTTTTTAAAACTACAGATTTCAAATTTACCTTATGAAAACTTTGATGCTGAGGCATGTATTTTTCTATTTTTAGTATTGAATTAATAAAGCAGTGGTGAGTTTCATAGTGCTCTGCACTTCCTTCATTTTACTAGGGACTATGAATTTAGAAACACCACGTGTTTTCCTGGACTAAAACCATCATTTTCTTTAGCTTTGTAGTCTCTCTCTCTCCCCTTCTCTTTCTCCTACAGTCTCTTACATTGTTGGAAAATGCTTGGTACCACTGTAGAAATCATGTAACTTTTGAATCTAAATGAAAATTTAAAAGCAGAGTTGAAATGATTACAGTGGAAAGATTTTCTTTCACAAAAATAGTAAACTGATCTTTTAAAACAGTACTTATAAGTAGATACTTGAGTTTAGAAATTATGAATATGATAAAACTGAACCTTTCAAATGATTTCATGGAGAGATGTTACCAGTCTTAAATTTTAGTGTTTTTGAAAGTCTGTGCATTTGTCTAAACACCCCATATTTTCTATTGCAGGGAGGCGCTGTAGCAGGAAATGTGGCCCATATTCTGGACTCACATCATGGGAAGGTTAGTTTGCCCTTGTTACATGCATCTTGTTAAACAGCACTGATGAAAGAATAAAACCAATTTTCTCTGTAACATTAGGGGTTCCATATCAAACATAGCCCATCTTTGGGTCAGTTTGAAAGACAGGGAGCTGTGAAGAGAATTGGCTAACACACTCCTTTTCCTGTGTAGAAGGCGTTACTGTACACTGCAGCCAACCAGCTGGCGATGGGAAGCAGGTCAGCGGAAGATGAAAAAAATGTTGCTCTAAAGACCATTCAGAAGGCAGCGCTGCTCTCTCCAGGTGATCATAATAAATCCATGTCGCTAACTCAGATTCTGTCAATCTTACATTGTGCTTACGGGCATACAGTTTGTATTTACATGAAATGAGGCAAAAGGAATTTTAGGAAACTGTTTTTAAGATTTTGCATATTATTTAGTTATCTAGGTTTGACTTTTCATAATTAAGAGAGTATCAGTTGGCCGGCGTCGTGGCTCACTTGGCTAATCCTCCACTTGCAGCGCTGGCACCCCGGGTTCTAGTCCCGGTTGGGGTGCCAGATTCTGTCCCAGTTGCTCCACTTCCAGTCCAGCTCTCTGCTGTGGCCCGGGAAGGCAGTGGAGGATGGCTCAAGTGCTTGGGCCCTGCACCCACATTGGAGACCAGGAGGAAGCACCTGGCTCCTGGCTTCGGATCAGTGTGGCGCACCTGCTGTAGCAGCCTTTCGTGGGGTGAACCAACTGAAGGAAGACCTTTCTCTCTGTCTCTCTATCTTTCACTGTCTAACTCTACCTGTCAAAAAAAAAAAAAAAATCAGTTATAGAAACAAGTTGAAAGGAATGTCTGCTTAAAATTATATTATTACCTGTTATTGAAAATCTGGATTATATATATTCAAGAAGTGGTTTTCTTTCTGTTTTTCCATCAGTCTTATTTAATGAGGCTTAACTGTGGCTACTAATATACTCTACATGCTTAGTTATTTTTATATGCTGTTAACTCCTTTAAGGATGAGGAGGGATGTGCCATATGTGGTAGCTGTTAGAAACGCCAAGGTCATGGCTTCACCTGAGCTGGCTATTTTTAGTTCTGACCAGCTGTGTGGTGTGTGTGGTGTTGTATGGGATAATGAGGAATTGCATATCACTGCCTCCATTTCCACTACTGGAAAAATGCCTCAAGAGATCTGGAATGTCTAGCAATGTAGGGTCACAAGGTATATTTTTACAAAATGTCATTTAAATATGAAATGAAGCATTGAACAATACATTCATCCAGAATACTTCATGATAATGATTAAAGTGCCGTTGCTTTTGGCTGAAGCAGATTGTACAAAGAAAAAGTTTATTGTTATTATATTCATAATAAACTATAAAGATCCTAACCAAGCAGCAAAATCTCAAATAGTCAGGAGTTATTTTGCAAAACACGTAGAGACCAATATCCTGTTGTTTATCCTGTCATTGAACAAAAACAGGCCCTAAGCTTTTGTATTTGTCTGTTATACACTGACAAGCTTCTGGTTTGTGGAGGTGATCTCAAGCAAGTGTTAGACTTCAGTCTCAGATGATAGAAGACCTGTTAGTCTTTGATTGTGTAAGTGCATAAACTAGAAAGGTGAGATTGCCAAGATGAGGTCCTCTGTCATGATTTCTGATTTTCCCAAGTAATTTGGAGAAATACATACATCAAGGAAGCGGAGCCATTACGGAAGATGCTTATGACAGAGATTGGGTGGTAAAGAAGAGTGCCTGTTTGAGACCTGTCCTTGAAGTCCAGTGCGAGTAGACATGCCTGTTGTTCCATGTGTTGGCTGTCCAACCTTGTGAATCTTTGATCAAAGAAAGTATACTTTTGATAGATGTTTCTCCAAGGAGTCTTTTCAGTAGCTGAAAGATAATCCAAAGAATTTAGGACTAAATGGGAAAAAAATGGAGAAAAGACTAATGATTCTGTGCTACCAAGAATTATTTTAATTTTTAACAAGCTATATTTTTAAGATTTTTAGATTTGTGCTTTGGATATTATCCTGGAGTGACACTTTGTTTCATAGGGAATTTGGGTCGCTGATTATCTGGGAAGACTTAATAGGAGCAGCCATTCTTTTGTATTGTGACAGAATAAATATCTTCCAGCTAATGCTTATATCCCTTGCTGAAAATCTAAATTTTAGAATACTATAAGGTCCCTAAGGGGCTTGTTCACTTAATATTAGGAATAAATCAGTATTTAGAAATGGAGTCCCCTGTAGTTAGAATCCTCACATTGTAGACCTATGAAATGCCACTTCTAGTTGGCATCTCAGCTGTCATCTGTTCAGTTGTCTCTTTTTTTAATAGAAAAATAATTCCCAAAGGAAAAACTGCCAGACAGCTAATCAGTGTCATTGTTAGACCCCCAAACACAGATATAAAATTCAGTCATGTGCGTTTCATTATATAGTAATCAGATCGCATCACAAAATCTAGGAAACGGTCCCCGTTTGTTTATTGTGGAGTTTGGCTGTGTCGTATGTTACTTCAGATAAAATAGTCATACTCTGGTCAAGAAGATATTTCAGAGTATGAAGATATATGTTGTTTTGTAAGAGGTTTTGATCTGCATAGGAATTTTCACTGTTCTTGTACTACTTGCCATAATAAGGAGCATCTATAAATGAGAAGCATATTTTAGACATTTGATAGGAGCTATATTTTTTGATGAGGCAATCAGAAAAATTACCAGACTAAAGTATGTGTGATTATATTGTTAACTGCCACCCCCTTGTGGGATTTTTTTTAAAAGATTTATTTTATTTATTTGAAAGTCAGAGCTACAGAGATCTAGAGAGAGAGAGAAAGAGAATCTTTCATCCACTGGTTCACTCCCCAGATGGCCACAATGGCCAGAGCTAAGCCAAGCCGAAGCCAGGAACTTCATCTAAGTCTCCTGTGCAGATGGCAGGGACCCAGACCCTTGGGCCATCTTCTGCTGCTTTCTTAGGCATTTAGCAGGGAATTAACACAGACTGGCACCCATGTGGGATGCTGGCGTTCTAGGTGGTAACTTCACCTGCTATGCCCCAATCATTTCTCTTTTTAAGGATTATCAGACTAAAACACATTAACTGTTGATGTAAGCTGCAAAATAAGGTTTATAAGTAATGAAAGACCTAACAAATGAAAAAAAGAAAAAGCAAAGAAAACCAGTCCTCTTGCAGCTTTTTCACAACTTAGGGAGAGGAATCTGTGCATAGTCTCTGTTGGACCTCTTCAGCCCCCTGCAGGTAGCCTTTCCACCTCACTGAAGCCACTGTGGTCAGGTGCGAAAGAGCAAATGAATGAGAGAACCGTGGGAGCCTAGAAATGGGAGGGGTGAACAGTGAGTTTCAGGCTCTCCTGTTGCAACATAGATGAAATGCTGAGCCTTTCCCTGACTCCAACTTTTCTCACAAAAAAAAAATTATGTTACCTTACTTAGCCTGTGACTAAGTTGAGAAGGATGGGTTACTGTTTGGGACTCGTCCTTGGTGTCTGGTGAAAGCAGAATAATTTTCCTTTCCATAATAACACAGTGCTGTAGGCAAGTGAGCTAACCAGCCGAGGAAGAAGTGTTTAGCAGCGAATTTCTCAGCCTCTGATGTGTTTGCTAACAATATGGAGAATCTCAAAGCATGAGTGTAGTCATATGTCTGAAAACACGTATTACTGAGTTTTCCCTTAAGGAAGTAGAATTTTTCTGGAGATATCATTAATTTTTTTGAGGGGGGTACTTATAAACTCTCACTCTCACTTTAGGAGCTTTACAGTGACATCTTGATACTAACAAACCTTTTTTTTTTTTTAACTTTTATTTAATGAATATAATTTCCAAAGTACAGCTTATGGATTACAATGGCTCCCCCGCCCCCAAAACTTCCCTCCCACCCCCTGCTCTCTCTCCCCTTCCATTCACATCAAGATTCATTTTCAATTCTCTTTATATACAGAAGATCAGTTTAGTATATATTAAGTAAAGATTTCAACAGTTTGCACCCACACAGAAACACAAAGTGAAAAATACTGTTTGAGTACTAGTTATAGCATTAAATCACAATGTACAACACATTAAGGACAGAGATCCCACATGAGGAGTAAGTGCACAGTGACTCCTGTTGTTGACTTAACAAATTGACACTCTTGTTTATGGCGTCAGTAATCACCCTAGGCCCTTGTCATGAGTTGCCAAGGCTATGGAAGCCTTTTGAGTTCGCCGACTCTGATCATATTTGGACAGGGTCAGAGTCAAAGTGGAAGTTCTCTTCTCCCTTCAGAGAAAGGTACCTCCTTCTTTGATGACCTGTTCTTTCCACTGGGATCTCACTCGTGCACTCGTGGAGATCTTTCATTTAGGTTTGTTTTTTTTTTGTTTTGTTTTGTTTTATTTTGTTTTTTTGTTTTTGTTTTTTGCCAGAGTGTCTTGGCTTTCCATACCTGAAATACTCTCACGGGCTTTTCAGCTGGATCCAAATGCCTTAAGGGCTGATTCTGAGGCCAGAGTGTTGTTTAGGTTAGGACATCGCTATTTTTTTTTGTTCTATCTTTGACCAGCAGAGTAGACAGAGAGGAAGAGACAGAGAAAGGTCTTCCTTTTGCCGTTGGTTCACCCTCCTATGGCTGCCATGGCTGGCGCGCTGTGGCCGGCGCATCATGCTGATCCGTAGCCAGGAGCTAGGTGTTTCTCCTGGTCTCCCTTTCGGGTGCAGGGCCCGAGCACTTTGGCCATCCTCCACTGCATTCCGGGCCATAGCAGAGAGCTGGCCTGGAAGAGGGGCAACCGGGACAGAATCCGGCGCCCCGACCGGGACTAGAACCTGGTGTGCCGGTGCCGCAGGCCAACATCTGGTATTCTATGAGTCTGCTGTGTATCCCGCTTCCCATGTTGAATCATTCTCTCCCTTTTTTATGCTAGCAGTTAGTATTTGCAGACACTAGTCTTGTTTATGTGATCCCTTTAACTCTTAGTCGTATCATTATGATCAATTGTGAACAGAAATTGATCACTTGGACTAGTGAGATGGCATTGGAACATGCCACCTTGATGGGATTGAATTGGAATCCCCTGGTATGTTTCTGACTCTACCATTTGGGGCAAGTCAGCTTGAGCATGTCCCGAATTGTACATCTCTTCCTTCTCTTATTCCCAGTCTTAATATTTCACAGGGATCACTTTTCAGTTAAGTTTCAACACTTAAGAATAATTGTGTATTAATTACAGAATTCTACCAATATTATTAAGTAGAACAAACAGAAAAAATATTAAAAGGGATAAAGTATTAAGTTGTTCATCAACAGGGCAAGGGCTGATCAAGTCACCGTTTCTCATAGTGTCCATTTCACTTCAACAGGTTTCCTTTTTGGTGCTTGGTTAATTGTCACCGATCAGGGAGAACATATGATATTTGTCCCTTTGGGACTGGCTTAGTTCACTCAGCATGATGTTTTCCAGATTCCTCCATTTTGTTGCAAATGACTGGATTCCATTTTTTTTGACTGCTGTATACTATTCTGTAGAGTACATGTCCCATAATTTCTTTATCCAGTCTACTGTTGATGGGCATTTGGGTTGGTTGCAGGTCTTAGCTATTGTGAATTGAGCTGCAATAAACATTAATGTGCAGACCACTTTTTTGTTTGCCAATTTCATTTCCTTTGGGTAAATTCCAAGGAGTGGGATGGCTGGGTTGTATGGTGGGGTTATATTCAGGTTTCTGAGGAATCTCCACTAACAAACCATCTGACTCTGCGCCTATTTAGGTGACCCTGCTGTGTGGGCAGCACTCATGGCAGCCTGTCACGCTGATGATAAACTGGCTCTTGTGAACAACACTCATCCAAAGAGGATGGATTTATACTTGGCACTGTTATCTGCTGTTTCTGCTTCAAGTAAGTTTAAAAACTCATTTTTATTCATAATTTAATTCAGATTCCTTAATTGGCTAAGTCAGGAACATGACTGGTGCGTATATTATAAAAAATACCTATATTCATTAAAGAATCCATAGTTCCTATGGATAGCTGGGATATGCATACTGCGCATTTTTTCTTTCCCATGTAATTTGCAAGTACACTATGTTCTGTGAGCTGAAATCTATGATTTGTGGTGTTTTCCTGCTTTGAGTCCAGTGTTTTGGATTGAGGTAACCTGGAAGAGTCCTTTACCGAAGCCAGCGCTGATATTGTCCTGTGACTCTTCCAGGAATCTTGGCCAGAGTAGCTGCTAACCAGATTTAACACTGTCTTGAAAATCTCTGAATCTCCTCATTGAAAAGTTATTTAATAGCATCATAAATAGGTTAATACTTTTGTCTTAGGACAGTAGTTTTCCCCTAGTAAATTTTGGACTATAGTTTTTTTTTAGCAAATATTAAACATCATTACTACCTGACTTTTATGGATTACTAGGGAAAATTTTAAACACTATGCCCTTTCTAAATGTCATTATAATAAAATGTCTTACAACGTTCAGTGTTTTGATCAAATGAACTTATTTGCAGTGATAAATCAGCAGAACATACTTATTTTTAATCCATGCTATTCAGATTTTAAAAGAACTCAACCCACTTATTTTTAAGTGTTTGCTTATTGCCATCTATTTGAAAGGCAGAAAGGGGGAGGGGCAAGGGATCAGGGTGGGAGACCTTCCATCCACTGGTTCACTCCCAGATGCCCACAACAGTTGAGATTGAACCGGGCCGAAGACAGGAGACAGGAACTCCATCCAGGTCTCCTATGTGGATGACAGGGGCCCAAGCACTTGAGCCACTGTTTGCTACCTCCCATGATGCATTGCTAGGAAGCTTGATCAAAGGCAAAGTAGCTGGGACGCAAATGGCAATTTGTTTGGTGTGGAATACAGGCATTCTGAGTGGTGGCTTAACCTGCTGTTATGCCACAGTTCCCCTGCTGTTTTTGTTTTTAATCCAGCCTCTCAAACCTGTATCTTAAAACTGGTGCATTTAGACCATAGATATTCACAGTGGTTACTGATAATGAGTGGATTAAAATCTGTTATTTTTTTAACTATTTTCTGTTTGTTGCCCATGTTCTTTGTTCCTTTTTCATCTTCTACTATTTTTCTTTCTTTTTAATTATGCCTTTTATGTGATACTGTTTTCTTCCCTTTATTAGCATGTTAGTTAAACTTTATAACTTTTTTTGGTGGTTGCCCTGAAGTTTGTAATATATATTTGCAACTAGTCCCAAGTCCACTTTCAAATAACACTGTACCATTTCATGGGCAATGCCAAGTACCTTACAAAACAAAATAAGCATCATTCTACCCTCCTGTTCCTTATATCATTATTATTCATCTGCTTATACATATGCACACACACACTCAACCAAATACATTTTTGCTCTCATTATTTTGAACAAACTGATTTTAAAAATTAATGTATTTGGTCAGTTAAAAATAAAAATTTGCTTTCTTTTTACTTTCAATATTTGTTCTTTGTTGCTCTTCCTTTCTTTTAGATCTAAGTTTCTGACCTTTATCAGTTTCTTCCTCACTGAAGAATTTCTTTTTTTATTTTATTTTTTTTTAAACTTTTATTTAATGAATATAAATTCCCAAAGTACGGCTTATGGATTACAATGGCTTCCCCCCCATACCGTCCCTCCCACCCACAACCCTCCCCTTTCCCACTCCCTCTCCCCTTCCATTCACATCAAGATTCATTTTCGATTATCTTAATATACAGAAGATCAGCTTAGTATACATTAAGTAAGGATTTCAACAGTTTGCTCCCACACAGAAACATAAAGTGAAAAATAATAGATGATTTTTTTTAAATGATGATGAAATCAGAGCAGACCTATTGTCATGGTGGATTCCAGTGAGAGTCAAGTTGGGAATTGATAATTTCTTTTTTTTTTTTTTTTTTTTTTTTTTTTACAGAGGGTCAGTTTAGTTTGCATTAAGTAAAGATTTCAACAGTTTGCACCCCCATAGAAACACAAAGTGAAATATATTGTTTGAGTACTCGTTATAGCATTAAATCTCAATGCACAGCACATTAAGGACAGAGATCCTACATGAGGAGTAAGTGCACAGTGACTCCTGTTGTTGACTTTACCAATTGACACTCCTGTCTATGGCATCGGTAATCTCCCTATGCTCCAGTCATGAGTTTCCAAGGCTATGGAAGCCCTCTGAGTTCTCCGACTCTTATCTTGTTTAGACAAGGTCATAGTCAAAGTGGAGGTTCTCTCCTCCTTTCAGAGAAAGATACCTCCTTCTTTGATGACCTGTTCTTTCCACTGGGATCTCACTCACAGAGATCTTTTGCCAGAGTGTCTTGGCTTTCCATGCCTGAAATACTCTCATGGGCTTTTCAGCCAGATCCGAATGCCTTTAGGGCTGATTCTGAGGCCAGAGTGCTATTTAGGACATCTGCCATTCTATGAGTCTGCTGAGTATCTCACTTCCCATGTTGGATCACTCTCCCCTTTATTTATTCTATCGGTTAGTGTTAGCAGGTACTAGACTTGTTTATGTGCTCCCTTTGACTCTTAGTCCTTTCTGTTCTACTTAATATGACTGGTTTAATTCTGTAATTAATACACAGTTATTCTTAAGTGTTGAAAATTAACTGAAATGTGATCCCTGTTAAACATAAGAGTGGGAATAAGAGAGGGAAGAGATGTATAATTTGGGACATGCTCAAGCTGACTTGCCCCAAATGGTAGAGTTAGAAACATACCAGGGGATTCCAATTCAATCCCATCAAGGTGGCATGTACCAATGCCATCTCACCAGTCCAAGTGATCAATTTCAGTTCACAATTGATCATAATGAAGAATTTCTTGTAACACTTCTTGCAAAGTGAGTCTGCTGGATTACAAATCCCCTCAATTTTTGCTTGAGAAAGACTTGATTTGTCTTTCACTGTTGTAGTAGAACTTCTCACTCAGCATGTAGAATTCTTGGTTGGTATTTGTTTTTTCTCTCAACACTGTAAATACAAGTTATTTCACTCCACTCTCTTTTGGCTTAAAGAGTTTCTGAGGAGAAGTTGGATGTATTTCTATCTTCATGTCTTTATAAGTAAAATTTTTTTTCTTTACTTCTAGCTTCCTTCAATTTTCTTTGATTTTTGTTTAGCTTGAAAATGATATTCCCAGGTGTGCAGTTTTTTGGCATTTATACTTGCTCAGTATTCTCTGAGCTTTCTGGGTCTGTGGGTTAGTGTCTGACATTAATTTGCAGAAATTCTCACTCATCATTGTTCCAAGTATTTCTTCTTTTCTCTTTGTCCTCTTTCTGGAATTCCGGTTGCCTGTATCTGCTGCTCTTGTAGCTGTCCCACAGTACTGGGACATTCCTTTCTGTTGCCTTCAGCCTTTTCCCTCTTTGTTCTGCAGTCGTGGTGCTTACTATTGAGATAACCTCAGGTTCAGAGATTATTTCCTAGCTGTGCTCAGTCTTCCAGTGAGCCCATCAATGGCATTCATTTCCGTTACAGTGTTTCGATGTCTGGCATTTTTATGTTTCTTAGAATTTCCACTTCTCTTTACATTGCCCATTTGTTAGAGCCCTTAGCCTATTAGTCATAGTTGTTTTAGATTCCAAGACTGATAATTCCAGTATCCCTTCCATATCTGAGTCTGTCTCCTTCTAATATTTATTTGTTTATTTTTAAAGATTTATTTTTTATTTATTTGAAAGGCAGAGTTACAGAGACAGGAGGAGAGATAGAGACCTTTGATCCTCTAGTTCACGCCCCAAAAGGCAGCAATGGCTGGGGCTGTGCCAGGCTGAAGCCAGGAGCCAGGAGCTTCTTCTGGGTCTCCCATGTGGGTGTGTGACCCAACCAGCTCATTAGCAGGGTGCTGGATTGGAAGTGGAGCAGCCAGGTCTTGAACCGGCACCCATATGGGATGCCAGCATTGAAGATGGTGGCTTAGCCTGCTATACCACAGCTACAGCCCTATTTATGTATTTGTTTTTGTTTTGTTTGTTTGTTTGTTTGTTTTGATAGGTAGAGTTACAGACATTGAGAGAGACAGAGAGAAAGGTCTTCCCTCCATTGGTTCACTCCCCAAATGGCCACACGGCCGGCACTGTGCCGATCTGAAGCCAGGAGCCAGGCACTTCCTCCTGGTCTTCTAAGCACCTGGGCCACCCTCTACTGCCCTCCCAGGCCACAGCAGAGAGCTGGACTGGAAGAGGAGCATCCGGGACTAGAACCCAGCACCCATATGGGATACCAGTGCCGCAGGCGGAGGATTAACCAAGTGAGCCGTGGTGCCGGCCCCTATGTATTTGAAAAATAGTTACAGAGAGGGAGGGGAAGACAGAGAGACAGAGATCATCTTTCTGCTGCTTCATTCCCCAAATGACCACAACAGCCAGGGCTGGGCCAGGCTGAAGCCAAAAGCCAGGAATTTCAGGTGGGTCTCCTACATGGGTGCAGGGATCCAAGTACTTGGATGTCACTGCTTTCACAGGTGCATTAGCAGGAAGCTGGATCGGAAGCAGACTAGCCAGGACTTGAACTTGGCAGCATCGAAAGGGGTAGGTTACCACGCTGTGCCGCAATACCAGCTCCCTAAGTCTGTTTCTGATATTTTGTTCTTTCTCTTCATACTGTGTGTTTCGCTCATCTTGTCATTTTCCTGGGTAGCCAGGCATGATATACTGAGTAAAAGGGACTGCTGCAGCGTTGCCTTCAGTAGTGTGGGGAGCAGGGAAGCGTTTCACAGTCCTGGGAGTTGGTCACCCCTGGATCGTGACCTCTCAGTGCTTCTGAGTCCACCCGTCTCCTGCTGCGGTGGGCCAGGCGAGCCAAGTGGCTTTGAGTGGGCTATTTCTCTTCTTCGGCGCGGATGCCTTTGGTGTCAGGCTGGTTGTACTCACTACCTTTTGACAATACTGTTCTGAGTACTTCACCCAGTACTGTATGAATTCCAAGTATTTTTCAACTCTGGCTGGCAGAAAAACTATTGCCGGGCTTCTGTAAACTCTGAATACTGCTGCTCCCGCCCCTTTCGTTGGGTCCCTTTATGCCCCACACTAGCCCTCACACTGCGAAGACTGAGTTGATGAAGTGGCGAGGGGAGGGGGCGGGGCAGCGGTATATGTTCGGAGCTCTCTGTGCGATTTTCTCCTCCCTGGAACTCCAGCCACCCTGGCCGGCTCCCCAGGTGGCCCCCACTGGCCTTCCCTGAGCTGCAGCCTGCACACTGTTTCAGGCAGTGACTGCCGCAGTTGCAGGCCTCGCCTCATGTGTCTCCCCTGATGCACAGAACAAGCAGGCACAGAGTGAGTAAGGATGCTGTAAAGACTTAATAATGTCGTCAGGTCACTTCACCTAATAGACGTTTACGACACTTCTTGCTCCTAACAGCAGAACGCACCGTTTTCAAGTGCACGCAGAGCATTTACCTAATGACATCATAGTCTGGGTCATCAAACAGGTCTCCATAAATTTAAAACGACTCAAATTATACAAAGTATAATATTTTATACAGCAGAATTAAATCTCAAATCAGTAACAAAATATCTGGAAAATTCTCAAACACTTGGAAATTAAATCACAAACTTCTAAATGATCCAGGTCAAACAACAAATCAAAAATAATTAAAATTAAAATTCAGATTAAAAAATAATCTGACATGATTGAAAAGAATACAACATATCAGACTTGCAGTGTCACTAAAACTCTGCTAAGAGAGAAGTTTCTAGCATTAAATGTCTACGTTAGAAAAGAAGAAAGGCCTTCCTCAAGTCAGTGACAACAGCTGCTAACTTAGGAAACTAGGAAAAGGAAGAGGAAATTAAAAAGATAGGAAATAATAAAGAATAGGAAGCCTGTGACATAGAGGACAGAAAATTGACAGAAAAATCAATGAAACCAAAAACTTTCTTTGAGAAAAAAAAATTGATGAACCTCTAGCTGGATGGGTCAGGAAGAAGACAGAGAGTACCCACGCTAGGAATGAAAGAGGGTGCATCATGACAGCCATTCAGAAGGCTAACAGGAACCTTATGAACAAGTTTCTGCTATGGAATTTGACAGCCTGGATGAAGAAGACAAATTCTTTAAAAGATAAAATTCGCTCAAGAGGAATACATTGACTAGCTGTGTATCTGTTAAATACACGAGACTTGCAGTTAAATATCTTCCCACAAAGAAAGCACCTGGGCCATGTGAATTCACTGAAGAATTCTACCAAATAGTTAAGAAAGAGATAATACCAATTTCACACAAATTCTCCCCTGAAAATCCAAAACATGGTAGTATTTCCTGATGTCCTCAGTGAGACAGACAGAGACACAAGAAGAACAGAACACTACGGAACAGCATCACTGTGAACACAGATGAAGAGGTCCATAACAGCACCCCAGCCACTCAGATACAGCATCAGTAAGAAAGACAGTAGTGCATCAGGGTCTAGTACGGTTTGTCCAGGAATTTGAAAGTAAATCAGATTCGCTGTGTTAACGTCTTTGAAAGATGCCAAACAGTTTAAGCTGTTTGATTCCATCTATGTGTAAGGTTTAGGAAAAAGGCAAACTGGTCTACTGTGACAGAAAACAGACTAGGAGTTGCCTGAGGGCAGAGGGTAATGGGAAATGCAGTGGCTTGGGGACAGAAGTGATGATAAAAGGGTAAGAGGAAACTTTCAATACTGCTGAATCTGTGTATTCCTTGATTGTAGTGATGGCTCACTTATGTGTACTTGTGTGAGATCTTATCACATTGTATAGTTTGAATATATGCAGTTTATTTTTTATCCAGTTTATTGCAGTAAAACTTTAAATTTTGTCTGTGTTACTATACCATGATTTTGGGTCCAAGTCTCAAGTGTATCACTATGAAGCCTTAGGTTTTTTAGCCACAGATACTCCGACCCTGAAACCTCATAGAAACTAGTTTGGTGTCAGAACAACCTGTGGTATTCCAGTGGGACATGTAAGATTTAAAAGCAGTTCTACTATCTTTTAACCTAGTTACTCTGTGAACACATAAATTACAGAGGAAAGTAACATTGATACTTCTTATTTACAGTTAAAGACAAAGAATTCCTTGAAAATTACAAGCAATCTCTTGAAACGTGGTCTCTGTCACAAGCTGTCACCGGTCTAGTGGACACTGGACGAACAGCTGAAGCCGAAGCTCTCTGCACAAAGGTTTGTTACGGAACTGCACACTGAAATGTGCGGATGCTTCTCCCGCCCGGAAGTGACTTCAGAAGTGGAGTGCAGGAGTTTAAAGAGCATGTGGTGATAGCTGTGGCGGTGATGACTGTGTAGCAGCCAGCACTGATCAGTACTTGCTACAAGCCAGTCACTGCATTTAGCACTTTATACTGAAGCGTTGCAGCGGTTCTAGGACGGAGGTGTTGATTAGTATTCCCATTTTCGGTAATGAGACAGCGAAGGCTTAGGAGAGTTAAGTAATTTGCACAATAGCCCACAGCTAGAAATGGGTAGACTTACAATTTGGACTTATATTTGTCTGAAAATAAACCAAGTTAAAGGGACATACTAATTCTAAAATAAATGACTTATAGACTACATTAATAGCATTACTGATTTTTAAAACCAGTAGTTAATCGTAGAGTTTCATATTTCCAAGTTCTTGTTTGCTGAGTGTTTTGTTTGCCTTTTGCAATTGTTTACTCTTAAATATGCCAAAACTGAATTAAGAATTTTTTTTTATGAACATGAGAAATGTGATATTTAACATTTAAGGGCCCATTTGATATTTTCCTATTTGGGTTCAATTTTCAGAATCTAAAAAGTAACCCTGATCAGCCAGCTGTTATTCTACTCTTGAGACAAGTGCAGTGTAAACCACTCCTGGAGGCACAAAAGCAGCTCCCGGACGCTGTGCTAGAAGAACTGCAGAAAGCAGTCGTGTCCAACTCAACCTCTGTTCCGGCTTGGCAGGTGAGTTCTCTCCCTTCTTACCGAAGTCCTGAATTAATTCTCCGCGATTTTAGTTGAGGTCAGGGATGTCCTTCATCTTCATGTGTCTCACTTTTTTTCCTTCCAATATTTACTTATTTAATTAATTTATTTATTTGAAAGGCAGAGTGACAGAGAAAGAGATCTTCCATGTGCTGGTTCACCCCCCAGTGGCCACAACAAGCAGCTGTGGGCCAGGCCAAAGCCAAAAGCCAGACACTCCATCCAGGTCTCCCACATAAGTGACTTCCCAGGCGTGTTAGCAAGGAGCCGGATCAGAAGCAGAGTCAGGACCCAGACCGACACTTCAGTATGGGATACTGGCATTGCTGTGCTACAGCAGCGGCAGTTTTGAAAATTTTAATTGCAAATATTTTCTCACATCTGTGGTCTGCTTCAGCACTCTCTTACTGTTATTTTTGAGGAATAATTCTTAATTTTAATGAGGTCTAATTTATCATTTTGAAATGGTGAATGCTTTATGAGGGTCTTCTACTTAAGAACTCTGCTTATTCCAAGTTCATGAAGACTTTTTATGTTTTCTTTAGACATCTTATTGTCTTACCTTTCACATTTAGTCTATAATTTATCCTTGATTAACTTTTGTGAATATTGCCGCGGTCGATTCGTATTTTTCTAAAAGCATATTTAATTGACCTAATCCCATTCTTTGAAAAAAACATGCAGTTCTCCCTGAATCTCAGTGATGGCTTTGTCATAAATCTCAGCATTCTCTATTCTTTTCCTTTATCAGTGTTGATGTCTGGTAACATTAAGGCCTACTACTTTTTGGTCTCATTCAGTTTGTCTTAGTCGTGTTAGGACTTTTGCATGACCACATTGTTAAATTTAACTCCCGTACATACACACAAAAAGCCTTGCTGGCATCTTGGTTGAGGTTGTGTGGTATCCAAAGTTTAATTTGGGGAAAGAACTGACAAAGTAAGTCAGTGCTGAATTTTTCTACCCAAGAATGTAATATATATTCCTCAGTTAATTAGTTTGAAATGTTCAGCAATATTTTACAGTTTCATCCTAAAGTTCTTTTGTATTTTTGGGTTAATCTAGATTAATTTTGAGGTACCTAGATATTTACAATTTTTTTGTTCCATTGTAAGTGATTTTTGTTTTTGATTTTTTGGTTTGCATATATATACAGATGTGCATGTGTATGAAGCACATATAAATATATATGAAGTTTGAAACATTTAGAGGTACAGTCAATTTTTATATATTGGCCCTCTAACAACCTTACTAAATTCATTTATTTTCTGAAATGGCAGTTGGATTTTGTATATAGACAGTTATATCCCCTTGTTAATGAGAAAATTTATTTTTCTAATATTTACATATTAAATTGTTCTCGTGTTGGTCTAGAACCTTTAATTGTTAAATAAATGTGAAGATAAGTCAACATTCCAGTCTTATTTTTACTTCGTAGAAAACATTATTTCATTATTATGAGTTTGTAGTAGATTTTGGTAGATATGTTTATCAAATTAAGAAAGTTCTGAATTTTTTTGTGAGAGGCTTGTTTTCTAGAATGAATGGGTCTTAAATTATCCAGGGCTTTTTTTTTTTGGACATTTGTTAGAATGGACCGTTTTCTTTATTTTATCAATGTGGTAGATTACATTGACTTTCAAATATTAAGATAGCTTTGCATTCTTAGAATAAACCCTACTTGATTGATACACTTCTTTTTATATATTGCTGAAATCAATTTGCTAATATATTGTTGAGAATTTTTGTGCCTATATTTATGAAAGAAGTTAGCCTGCAATTTTTCATTCCTATAAATTCTTTGTCAGGTCTTCATGTCTGTTATTATTTCTTTTGTTTTTACTTTCTAAAAGATTGTGTATAATGTTAACATTATTTGTTTCTAAACCATTTGGAAGAATTCACTGTTGAAGTCATTTAGGCCTGGAATCTTATTTATGGAAAGTTTTTCAGTTACAGACTACATTTATGTAACAGCTTTTATAACCCGTAATTTTTGTTTCTTGGGCACAGAACTTAAATCATTCTTATTTATTTATTTTTATTTATTTGAAAGGCAGTGAGACAGAGATGGAAATCATCCTTCTGCTGGTTCACTCCACAGAAGCCCACAGCAGCCAGGGCTGGGCCAGGCTGAAGCCAAGAGTCTGGAACTCAATCCAGGTCTCCCACATGAGTGGCAGGGTCAGACACTTGAGTCATTACCTGCTGCCTCCCAGGGTGCACATTAGCAAGAACTCAAACCCAGGCATTCGGATATGGGATTTGGGCGTCCTAAGTGGCCCTTAACTGTGTGCCACTCACCCCTAACTAAAACTTTTAGCTTCATCGGAGTTTATTGAATGTGTTGGGGTGGGATCCTGGACGGTACTAAATTAAAATCCTCTGCATTCTCTTTCTGTTGCTCAGTGGCTGGCGTACGTGTATCAGTCCCAGGGAATGATGAGCGCTGCAGAGATGTGTTACAGGAAGAGTCTACAAGTGGCGTCCCAGCAGGGCAGCTGGAGCGGGAAGCTCTCGAGTCTACTGAGACTAGCCCTGCTTGCATTAGAAGTCTGCAGGGTAAGGTCTTGTTGTAGTTGTGATCATAAAGCTTGAATGTTTAATCTTTCTTTAACATGAAAGCTGTTCACACAGCTTACTCTGTTGAGCTCCTTTGTTGTCTTATAGTGCAGTCTCTTCATTGACTTCATATTCTGGGTTCTTAATGGACATAAAGGTAGCAAAAATCCATAGACCCTGCAGAACATTGTCAGTGTTTGGTGTGAAAACAGAGATCACTATTGTAAATGGTGGTTTGCAGCAGAATGTACACTCTTTATTCTTCGGTGGTTGAAATTAGAATTAAATCCAGCTACTCATCCACAGACAACATGCCAGTGTTTAAAATTTCAGTCGCTTCTCAGTTCAGTTTGACATTCTCTCAGAGGGACTTGTTAACTTACAACTTGACATCCTGTTTTCTGATGCCAATTTACATATGTTAATCTGCAAGTCTTATTTGCTGGTAGGGAAGAATTCTTAAAGAGCCATGTTTAAGTGAAGGGAGGGCAAGCTGCGGGACAGGGTATGGGATGTAATCCCATTTGGTGTTTGTGTGTGTGGTGTCTGTGTCGACAAGTGCATGTCTCTAAGTATGCCATGTGTGCTTGTGTGTGCATGTACTTACAGAATTATATGGGAGGGTAGATAAGAAACAGGCAGTCACTATAGGAACTAGGAAACTTTCTCAGCTTTGGTACAATTGCGGTTGAACACATGTAAGTGTTCCTCAGGCCATGTTCTGTTCATCATTGCTTTTTCATTCTATCTTGTACATAGGAGGGTTTTTGTTTGTTTTTAATGAATGGGCAAATAGTATTGTGGTCAAATTTGAGGTGATTTGGGTGGAAAGGAATGGTGGTAACAGTAGTTGTAGATCACCCACCATTTGTTTGTCTCATAATTATGTTTAACAAAGGTCTTTCTAACCTTGGTAACCAGTGAGCTGTGAAACCACATGTAGTACTTACTGTAACATGCTCTTGAGTGTGTGAACTGGAGAAATGGATGCTATTGTAGCCTAACTTACTATGTCTTAGTTATGAATGCTATTTTTTTAAATGCTGGGAAATTTTACATCTGACCTGGAATAAAACAAATTAGTAATAGCTCTAACAATAGCAAACACATGTAGCATTTAGTCTGTTCTAGGTGCTGTTATAAGTGCCTCACTCACTAAATATACTGTCTCCGTAATCCTGTTACAAATGAGGAGATCAGCTTGCAGAACAGGAATACCCAGGTATACTGCACCTCAGTCCACTGCCACCACGAGAGTATTTTCTTTAAGAGCCTGTATTCTGATTCTGCCATTTACTGCTGGGAAATCTTCCGCCAGTTTAACTGTGCAGAGCCATTTTCTTTGTCTGTAGTAGTGGAGGTATCTTCTTCATCTTCTTGTTGGGTTGTTAGGAATATCAAATTAAGTAACATTTACAGATAACCTTTGTGACCTTCAAACACTATCCAAATGTCATTTGTTCTTGTTAAAAATTTGATACCCAACAAATGTATCTCCTTATAATTTTTATTTATTTATTTTCATTTGATTTGAGAGAGAGAAGTAGAGGTGGAAAGACAGAGAGAGATCTGTATCTGCTGGTTTACTCCCCAAGTGCCCACAACAGATGGGACTAAACCAGAGTGAAGCGGGAGCCAGAATTCAATCCATGTCGGGTGCAGGGACCAAAAAATTTGAGCATCGCGTGCTGCCTAGGGTATATGTTAGCAGAGAGCCAAAATTGGGAATGGAGCCAGTGCACTGTCCCAGGCACTCCGGTATAGGATGCGGATGTCCCAAGCAGCACCTTGATCACTGCACCAAATGCCCAACCCCCCATTTCTTATTACAGAGAAATAAAGGAGTTGCCACATTTGCACATAAACAACTGGCAGTGTGGGGAAGATGGAGATATTAAAATTAGTCTGTTTTATGAACTACTTAATGTGTGAGAATAGATGAAACAGATATTAAACTGAAAGTTTACCTAAAATGTTACATGTCCAATTCCAAAATAAGATACCAGATGAGGATAGGCATTTTAAAAAATTACTTCTTTTCAATAGAGAAGCAGACAAAGATCTTTCATCTATTGGTTCACTCCCCAAATGCCTACAACAGCCACAGCTGGGCTAGGCAGAAGCTGGGAGCCAGGAACTCAGTCTGAGTTGCCTGTGTGGGCAGGAGGGACTGAAGCACTTGAGACACTGCCTGCTGGCTTCCAGGGTATGCAATAGTAGGAAGCTAAAATTGGAAGTGGAGCCTTGACTCAATCCTAGGCATTTTGAAAGGGGCTGTCGGCACCCCAAATGGCTTCTGTACCCCTGCACTCCCTGCCCACCCCGAATGATACAGATTTTGAAGTGGGAAAATCTTAACCTGTAAAGGAAGCTATAACAGCATCAGAAGAGTAGAGTTGGAGGTGACCTGTGAAGGCATTTCTTAGGAGAGAGCTGTTGTCTCCCCCGTAAACCCTCTCAAGTTTCCACAGACACACAGGTGAGGAAGGGACCCTAATGGGGAGAGGGACTTTGACATTTGTCCTCTGAGGTCCTGAAGGCGTATGTACAGAAGCTTGCGGACAGCTGTCTGAAACGTGCTTCAGAGGCCGTGGTTCTCAGGTTTCTGAGATGTTAATACAGAGAAGAGAATGCTAGTGTTTCAGGAGAGTGGCCTCACTGGAGACACAGGGTGGGGGGCAGTTGCTGCAGATGGGATCCCTGGTACTCTGAGTTTGTGAGATTTAGAAATGGGTGCAGCCAAGTGTGAGAGTGGACTGGCGTGGGCATTATCTTAGATCCTGTCCAGGAGGGCTGCCCACAGGGGTCATGGAATCTTAGCAGAGAGGAAGCTAGAGTTTCCGTATTGCTACAGGATGTGCAGCGAGTAAGCAGAATGCAGTTTGGATGCCCCTGTCTCAGATGGTCAACTTAACAGGTTTTTTGGCTGTACAGTGATGGGAAAACCATATCCATTCCATAGAAGCCGTGCTTTGAATGTTGAAGTGTGGCCTTTCCCAGGTTAACGATACACAGAACGATCCACTCAACGCCAGGCAGCGGCATTGAGCGTGGCTCCCAGTCACCCTGTGCCCACTGAGACAGTGGCACACTGTGCTGCTGGGCGAGGGTGTCAGTAGGTTAGGTGCGTTAAGTGCATTTCTGACTTACAGTATTTGCAGTGTATGCTAGGTTGATCAGGACACAACCCCATCATAAGTCGAGGAGCCTCTGTCCGTTTGCCCAGGTTAGCAGAACTGCAGGTGAGCAGGGCTGCCTTGGTGGTCTGTGTCGGGCATGTGTATGGGGCTCCACACTTAGCCCAGTGCTCTGCAGTCGCCTACCTGAATTGTTAATAATTTTTGAACAAACAGCCCTGTGCTTTTATTTTGCACAAGGCCCCAAAGGCTACTGTAGTGCGAATGCAGCTAAGCAGCTACTTAAGAAGTTAGAATCTGATAAAGCCAGCCTGAGGGGGTGGAAAAAACAGTTTACAATGCCTGTCAGGCCTGGAGAGCTTGACACCATCTTACCAGTAGAACACAGGATTGTGATAATTTCCTAGAGGCCTGACAGCACAACTCAGAAGAAAAGGCAGGAGTATTAGAGAATAGAGACAAGCCATCTGCCGCTGTCTGAACCCCACCCTAGCCTGGGAGCTGAAGGGCCTGGGAGGGAGGTTCAGGTTCAGTAAATACCTTTCCATGAAGAGTAAAATGTTGAATGGAAGAGGACATCATTTGTGATGAAGGAAACATTGATATGACTCATGAGGACTGCTATAATTTACATCCAGGAGCAGAGAAAAGGTCCTCTTTGAATATATTTCAGAGACAGGGAGACAAAAAGAAAAGTACACTCTGATCACATTGTTCAATTTTCCAGTTATATGAAGTAATCTTTGTACTGATTTACAGAAAACTTGATATGATTTCTTGGAACTTAGAGAGTGCATTATTAAAAATATCCAGTTTTGTGTTACTATTTTTTTCCCTTAAATTTGAAAGGCAGAGTTAGAGAGAGAAGGAGAGACAGAGATCTTCCATCTGCTGGTTCACTCCAAACAACCAGGTCACAACAACCAGGACTGAGCCAGGCAGGAGCCAGGAGCTTCTTCCGGGTCTCCCACGTGGGTGCTGGGGCCCAAGGACTTGGACCATCCTCCACTGCTTTTCCCAGCGCATTAGTAGGGAGCTGGATCAGAAGTGGAGCAGCAGCTGGGACTCAAACTGGCACCCATATGGCATGCTGGCACTGTGGGCTGGGCCTTTAACACGCTGAGCAATAGTTCCAGCTCCAGTGTTACCAATTTTTAAAGAGATTTTAGAAAAATTTGCTTCATGCTTGCCTTGTGTTGTTTACCTTCTCAGATGTACCCATTGTCCTAGTGCACCCATTTTACAGAAGATGTCTCACAGCCTCTGTTCTGTTTTCAAGCTCATTGTAACTTCCTCATCCTTGATTACAGGAATTGCTAATGCCTGCACTGCACTGAGAGATTACTGCTCTAACACCTTTAGAATTTAGTATTTGGAATGGACTGCATATTGGCCATTATATTGACTTCATTAAAATGTGTACAATTTTATTTTTAATAAAAAATTGTAATGCATTTTCCTTATATAATTCAGTAGTGTTCATTTTATTAACAGTTATTAAGAAATACTTATCTATGATATTTTTGCATTGGTATGTATCATAAAACTAAACATTCATAACCCAACTAGTGAATTAATACATTAACATTTCTCATTGATAAAACATTTAAAAATATTTGTAGTATTGCCAACTTTGACTTAGTTTTTTAGAAAAATTATTTGAAAGAGAGAGAGGTCTCTTATGCATTGGTTCACTCTCCAGATGCCCGCAACAGCCTGGATGTCTGGAACTCAATCCAGGTATCCCACACAGGTAACAGGGATACAAGTACTTGCACTGTCACTTGCTGCCTCCCAGGGTACACATTTGCAGGAATCTGGAATCAGAAGTGGCCCCAGGACTCGACCCCAGGCACTCTGATGCGGGATGTGAGCACCCTAAGTGGTGTCTTACTTAACCATTCTGCCCAGCATCTGTCCGTGCCTTTAGCTTTTAAATCTCTGATCTACTTTGCACTTTGTTTCTATATTGAAGTTTTATTAAAATAGTTTAGCCTTTCCTGTTTCTTTAGATAATTTTTGAAATGTGGAACTTTATCATTACCAGTAAAAGAGCTTATTGTGTCAAAGTTAAGATTTTTATATTTGGTAGATCAGAGGCTTACTAAACCATTGGATTTATTCACCTGTGTAGCGTGGTGCATTTAAAAAATAATAATAATGTAGTGTTTTGTAAATGGTGTCTCTTCTTTGAGGCCTTACTTCCAGCCTACCCTTTGTAGCACCTTCAAGGAAGGAATCAGATCTTCAGTAATGTTCAGTAACTGTGTTCCTTGTAGCATTTGTATAGATAGGCCAGCGCTCAATCAATGAGAGCTGAACTGCGTTCTTTTAGAGTAAACGTCTTAAAAACTTGGAGTTAATATGTATGTTTTTGCAGGCTAATATTTCCGGTGACCACTGGCCATCCTTGGTTCAAGAGGCTACTGCTGAAGCCATGAAACTTTGCTTTTGTCCACTGGCTGTTCTTTTGCAAGCCTTGTTACAGTTCAGCCGCAAAATGGGGGCGAGGTATGGAGAATCTTTGTTCATTTTTTTTCTTGGATGCTTCTTCACTTTAAATCCACCTAGGAAACTGTTAAGGAATGATTTCTAATTAGTTTAGCAGACTTTGGGGTTATTCTTTTATCTTTATCCACTTTGGAAGGGGTAGTTCAAGCAACCCAATAAGAAAAAAAACAAAGTTTTGGATTTAAGAAATAATTTGATACATAAATACAGACCAAGAGGTTTGGCAATAACAACATTTCAAGTGAAGGCCTTTGAGGGTTTTGTTTGTTTTAAGATTTAATTATTTGAAAGGCAGAATTACAGAGAGGCAGAGAGAGAGAGAGAGAGAGAAAAGCCTTTTATCTGCTGGTTCACCCTCCAAATGGCTGCAATGGCCAAGGCTGGGCTGATCCAAAGCCAGGAGTCAAGAACTTTCTCCAGGTCTCCCATGCAGGTACAGGGGCCCAAGCACTTGGGCCATCTTCTGCTGCTTTCCCAGGGCACAGCAGGGAGCTGGATCAGAAGAGGAGCAGCCCGGTCTCGAACTGGTGCCCATATGGGATGCTGGCAGTGCAGGCAGCAGCTTTACTCGCTGTGTCACAGCACTGGCCCCAGCCTTGGAATTTTGTTTTCAGCTTTACGATGAGCCAACAGTGTGGTGTGGATTCTTAGAAAAAAGACCACAGGACCCAAGTTCAAGGCTAAATTAATAGGAGCTGTTTGCTAATGCAGTAAGCCATGGAAAAAGTAATAAAAAATCAAAAGACAGAGACATATTGTTTGTAAGTAGTATCGTCTCATATCTAGAAAATCCAAAAGCTGCTCAGATTAAAATATAAAAATCCAGGCAATATTTTCGTTAGTGGGTAGGGATAGGGCCAGAAATAAATTAGAAGAAAATTACTTAAAGGTCATATAGATAAAAAAAACATATAAGGGTATGTGAAAACTCTGAAAATAATATCCAGCTCTAACAGCTGTCACACATAATACAGAAGACCAGAAGTAAAATCATAATTCAGGAACAAACATTACTGGAACTTGATAGATATTGTAGAAAAAGAGCTTAGTACATGTAAATAAGAATAGTACATGTAAATAAGAATATGTGGCAAAAGACATCTCCAAAAACAGGGATGAAGGAAGAATTAAGACCCTGTGGCTAATCACCACTTCTATCATTGTTCATTAATGGTCGTTCACATTTAGCTGTTTTTGTCTGTGACCAATTTTACTAAGAAATGCTTTTCAGCTATAATTTTTACCTTTCAATGAACTCTTTATGTTGATGCACTTTGTGGGTGATTTGGAGAACACTAGTCCCCTTTCCCCCCTATAATCTTGTTAATACCTCTCTTATTTTTATCACCTCTCTAGACTAGCCCAAATAAATACTAATCTAAGAAAAAAGTATAGGGCCGGCGCTGCGGCTCACTAGGCTAATCCCCCGCCTAGCGGCGCCGGCACACCGGGTTCTAGTCCCGGTCGGGGTGCCGGATTCTGTCCCGGTTACCCCTCTTCCAGGCCAGCTCTCTGCTGTGGCCAGGGAGTGCAGTGGAGGATGGCCCAAGTGCTTGGGCCCTGCACCCCATGGGAGACCAGGAAAAAGCACCTGGCTCCTGGCTCCTGCCATCGGATCAGCGCGGTGCACCGGCCGCAGCGCGCCGGCCGCGGCGGCCATTGGAGGGTGAACCAACGGCAAAGGAAGACCTTTCTCTCTGTCTCTCTCTCTCTCACTGTCCACTCTGCCTGTCAAAAAAAAAAAAAAAGTATACATACTATTTTATTCCTATGGAAAATTTTCAAAATGAGTTATTTAGTTCTTGCTTCAAACCAATTGCTACTTACAAGATCCTTCTACTTAGCAGTTTTGAAATTACTGCTGTTTATGTTGTTTCTACCAATACAGATATAATGGGGTTCATATATGTTAGTAAATTAGAAAAGAAAAAGATAGACTATACCTGTAAATCAGCCTGTTAATACAGTGGGTTTGCATACTGTGTATGTCCTTGGAACTGTACAATGAAAGCCTGATACTATACACTTAGCTTCTAGTGTGGAGGGTAAATATTTCTTGTCTCCATGTGTCACTTTTGTGTTGTTTATTGATTTTTTTTTATGCCTAGTTTCAAAAAGATTAAAAGTGGATCCTCCGAAGTGCTTGTAAAGTATGGCTCTTCTCCCCTTTCTATTTGACATGAGCCTTAGTTTGCTTATTTCAGAATGGGACTAATAACAGCAGTGGGTTCTGAATATTAATTATGACCATATGTGTAAAAGTGTAGCATATCAGGCACAGTACCTACTGCAGGATAAACACCCAAGAAATATTAACCATTTTTGTTTCCTTTATCATTATCTGGACTAAAAAATTGTGAGTAATCACATACCACATGCATGTGTGAGGCTTGTGTATGAAATAATAATTTATTTCCTTTGGACTAAATGTAAATTCTTTTTGGCAGAGAGACACGGCGACTTTTGGAGAGAGTGGTGTACCAGCCTGGGTATCCCAAATCTGTTGTATCAACTGCACGTTGGTATCTGCTGAGACACTTACATGCCAAAAATGATGACGAGCTCATTGAAGTAAGACCTTAATTTTATTTAAGATATTTCATCTTGGACCTAAAATGTGTTAAGAGTTCTTTTTCAAAATTACTCCGTTTTTATGACTGAACTTCAAAAAAACGAGCATGTAATTCTTGGGCCAACAAAAGACTACAATGTCAATTGTGTCATGTTTGAAAATAGAAAAGCATTTATGCTTATGGCTTCAAGGTTAAATCTATATTTTGTATTTTGCCATGGATCAATTATGAAGTTCCTGTTTTGGTATTATAAATATCAGAATCCAAGTTATTGGACATAAGTAACAGGACTGTTAAAGCTACGTTTAGAAATAGCTACGTTTATACAGGTGTACATGTATCAAACATCCCATGGTACCCGTAAATATATACAAAATCCTGTGTCAGCTGAAAATTAATTCACTAACTAACTAGATAATAAAAGTAGAGTAATGTAAATTCAGCCTGTGTATGTGCTAGATGACTTACAGGGAATCTGCTAAGTTTTCTTTGAGAGTGATTATTTGAAAGGCAGAATCCAAATTAATGGCAAGTCCTGAGGCCCAGGGCATTGGTTTAAAACCCTGGGGTCGTAACTGGTTATGAAGTAGGAAGTAGTTGTGTACCAGCCATGGATGACATAGGGTTTTACTTCTTTATTTTTTGTAATGAAATAAAGCAGATTCATGGCTATCCTCACACTTTCCTCTGCCAGTGAATTCTTGTAAGCTTTTCTAAATGAGGGAGGATAGAATTATAGGAGGCTTGCCTAATTGGCCGTACTTTCCTGTGAACCAGTGAGAACATCACAAGTTTAAGTCATTCGTCAGATATACTGAGTTTTATAAAAAGTGGAAAACTGCTGATCTAAAGCCCTTATTTAGTGAAATTTATAGCCTTGCAAATGTGTTACCATCTAAACCTAACCTGAGGCAGTACCAAGAATCAACTTTTCCTTCCTTCCTTCCTTCCTTCTTGTCTATTTCTGTCTTTATGCTTGTCCTCCCTCCCTCCCTCCCTCCCTTTCTGCCTTCCTCCCTTTTCTTTGAAAGGCAGAGTTAGAGAGAGGCAGAGGTAGAGAGAGAGAGAGATCTTCCATCTGCTGGTTCATAGCCGCAATGGCCGGAGCTGAGCGGATCCAAAGCCAGGAGCCTCTTCCGGGTCTCCCACATGGGTGCAGGGACCCAAGGACTTGGGCCATCTTCTACTGCTTTCCCAGGCCATAGCAGAGAGCTGGATTGGAAATGGAGCAGCCGGGACTCGAACTGGTGCCCATTTGGGATGCTGGCACTGCAGGCGACGGCTTTACCCACTACACCACAGTGCCGGCCCCCTTCCTTCCTCTCCTCTCCTTTTCTTCCCTTTTCCTGTCTTTCCGCCTTTCTGTGTTTCTGCCAGAAAGGAATGGCTTAACTGTACTCACTTTTTTACTTGCTGTGTTATTAGAAATGGATGAACAAAATGGTTTAGTAAAAGGCAAAGCAGTAAACCAAAGGAAGGAGATGCATAAGTTGGTACTGGTCTCGCGTTAACATCACAAGAATGGCATTATATTTGCCTGCCCGTGTTTAGCTTTGCTGCACCAGGAATGTGATTATTCCTTGTAGCCTAATCAGTTCAGTTTCTCAACTTCAGCTCTACTGAGGCTGTGGACTGGATGATTCTTTGCAAGGAGTGGTGTGGTCCTGTGGAATGCTGGGTGCTGGGCAGCAGTCTTAATCTTTCAAAGCACTAGAAACCAGAAGCACTGTGCTTCTCCCCACTACCCTGCTGGTGCCAAACAAAAACATGTTCTCCACTTGTCAAATGCCACCTGGGGTCTAATCACCCTGGTTGGGGACCACTGCTTTAACCTATAGGTAATACAAGGGTACATCAGAAAGTTTGTGGAAACTCTGCTTCATTCTGCCAGTGCCTGCAAAGGCCAGGGCTGGCTGGGGCAGGGGTCAGGGTCAGAACAAGGAGTTGTGAAATCAATCCATGTCCCCCACATGGGTAGCAGAAACCCAGTTACTTGGGCCATCACTGCTGCCTCCCAGGGTCAGTACTGACAGGAAGCTGGAGTCAGGAGCTAGAGATTAAATCCAGGCACTGCAAGGTTAAACACCCACTCTGATGCAAAAAAAATTTTGAAATCCTTGCATAGTTTTTTTTTCATAAATAATACACATTTTTTTGCTAACTTTCTGAAGGTCTCTTGGATAGTCTTCTTTATTATTTTTTTTAAATGTATTATTAATTTGACAGACAAAGTTGGAGGGAGATAAAGAGAAGGAAAGAGATCTTCCATCTTTTTGTTCTCTCCCCAAGTGGCTGCAGTGGTCAGGGCTGAGTCAGGTGGAAGCCTGGAACCTGGAACTCTATCCAGGTCTCCCAGGTGGTTGTCAAGGTCAAAAGCTGCTTTCCCATGCACATTAGCAGGGAGCTGGGTTAGAAGTGGGCATGCTGGGGTTAAAACTAGCTCTCCAATTTGGGATGCTGGCATCACAAGCAGTAGCTTAACCCCGCTACATCACAGCAGTGGCTCTTGGACGTTGTTCTGATGTGCTGTGTAGTATAGGAGAAAGGGTGGGCAGGGGTGCTGGGTGCTACTGTAGTTTGTTATGGCCACTGCAGTAGAGGAAATCAGTAGCTTGGAAAGGAGTTAGAATCTAATGGGGTGTTCATATTATCTTTTTAAAAAGTGTTTTATTTCTCCTTGAGTTTTCTTTAAAATGTGTGTGACAATTTCTGCTGCACTCTTCCTGAGATGGTTCTGACATGTAAACACATAAGCCTATATAGGCATTTAAAATTGCCTTGGAAAAGGTAGAGTATACAACAATAAATTGGGTTAAGTGTCTCATACTTTAACCAACAGTTTTAGCAACATAATTTCTCTTTTACTTGAGAAAGCTTATTAGACTAATGTGCACCCTGGGAGGCAGCAGGCGATGGCTGAAGTACTTGGGTTCCCTGTAACTCCTGTGGGAGACACAGATTAAGTCCCAGCAAGCTGATCAGAAGCAGAGGCCTGGAGACTCGAACCAGCACTGCAGTATGGAACATGGCTGAAAAAATTCTTGATAAACCCCCTGATAAAGATTCTTGATAAAGCTTAGCACCCAGAGTTAACAAAGCTGTTATTTTAAAAGGGAGCAGTATCATTTTACAATTCTATGCATGAAATGGACTTTTTGGGTAAGGATTTAAAGACAACAATATTTTAAACAAAGCCAACCAACAAAAACCTTTAAATTTTTTTAGTTTCTTTTCAAAACATTTAATCATTTTTTTAATTTATTAATTTGAAAGACACAGACAGACTGCTTCATTCCCCAATGTTCTGCAGCAGCCCAGGGCTAGGCAAGGTCAGATCCACAAGCCAGGAACTCAGTCCAGATCTCTCACATGGTGGTAGGAACCCAAGTACTTGAGCCGTCACCTGATTAGTAAGAAGATGGAATTGGGAGTGCACATGGGACTCAGACTAGGGGCTTCCATCTGGAATGTGGGCATCTCAAGAGGTATCATCACCGCTGCTACAAATGCCTGCACAACCTTTAGTTTTTACCCAGTGCTGACAGAGGAAGCAGTCAAGATGCTGTTACCCGTGCCTGTCTCTGATGCTGGCTTTGGTTAAGCAGCTCATGTCAGCAGGGACAGACTGCACAGTCACTTTTTCTTATGTAGTCTGATGTTGTCTTTTCAAGACTGCTGCCCTTTGACATGCTTGGCTTTTATGAATCTGAACAGAGATATGGTTAGTAATCAAAACCCTCATATTTCTGCGTGATTCTCCTGCAGGTGCTGGTCAAGAATGCTGAAACTCACAGAGATACAAGGGCATTGAAACTGCATCAGAAATTATCCTCACAATAACAGCTGAGAAGCAAAGAAAAAGGCTGTACAAATGAAGCAGTGAATCAGGACCTCCCCAAAGCACCATTTTTTTCTAAAAAAAAAAAAAAATCATCATCATCATCTATTTCTTTTCTTTTTTTTTTAATCTAAAGAATTTAAAGTTCTTAAGTTAGGGATGTAGCTTTCCGTTAACTGTTTACCTAATTTTAAACTGAAAGCGTCTTTGATTTCAGAAGTCCACAGTGCAAGGAAGTCCACGATGCGCTGGGTTGCTCACCAGTTATTTCTAAACCATGGCTTCCTGCTTGTGCATGGTGCACAGAATCTTTCTTTAAGCCCTTACAGTAAAGCCTTAATAGCCACTTTCTAAATAATCTGCAAAAGCAGATTAGTGCAATGAAGAATTTCCATTTATTAAATTCAGTTATTTTTTCTTATAAATTCTGGAGTTCAGACCAAGTCACCATAAAATCCAAATAATCTTCTAACTTATTTTGCTAGTGATTCATTCATCTCAGATTCTATTGAAGAAGCATAAGAGTTGAAAGCACTCAGGTGCGTGGCTGCATTTAATGGAAAACAATGCTATCGATGTTTACTCAATCATGCATTTCCTTCAATTATGATGAAAAACTTGAACTTTCTGAAATAAAGTACAGCGTCTTACTTCCTTTATAGTATCAGTATGCGAATACTTTAAATTTCAAATTTTAAAACTTGAAAGCGTAGTTATCTATTTTTTTCATAAAGCCTTTTACATATTTAAAGAAACTATATGCTGCTTATTTTGGATTTATGATTTTAAAAATGTGGACATTTACATGTTATTTATTATACAAAGATAGGTGGTTATATAATCTATGTGAATGGTTTTTCTGAAACTACAGGTTTACGGTGTTAACTTCTGAGCTAACATAAACTGATAATCTGTAATTAAATTGTATTTCAAAGGTTAATCTATTGAGCTGTAATCTGATGTTTCCGAAATTTGGCTAACCTTAATAACCATTCAGACCTAGGTAACCAGTCTTTGCAGATGAGAGGGCCTAGGACTGCGCGCTCCAAAGGCATGCCTAAGAAAGTCTGGTATTTGTGCAGCGATTCTTCCCTTCCTTCTGTAGCAAGATTAAGCACACTCCATTCTCTGTGTCTTCCTTACCCTCACAGCTGGCTGCTTTTAATGGCCTGGCCCTTAGCCAAAGGTGCCCTGTGTGCGAGGCTGCCTGTGCAGCCTGGTGCCCAGGAAAACACCCCAGCCATTTCCCAGAGCACGGGCTGGCTCCGTCCACTAAGTGCTTCGGGTTGGTTCTTGGCCTCCGTCTGCTTTCTGGTGTCACCTGCTTCGCCAGGGTACTTCCATGGGAGCGTGGACTTGGTTAGCCTCGGCCCCAGGCCCACAAGTCAAGGGGTAACCTTTTGACTTCCGTGCCAAATTCCCACTGCCAGGGGCCTCAGACCCAGGCTTTGTAGAGAGGAGAGCTGGGACGACACCTCCACTAAACCACCTGAGGTCATTCTTTCCTGAGTTATGTGCACATACCCTTTCTTAACCCTGGTGTGTCAGCTTCTCTTCAGATTGTTTTATGCCAGACTAGGCTGAGTGTCCATAGGATAGTCACTTAATACTGGCTTACAAAGGAGAATGGTGCTAAACAGTGTCTTAAAGCAGAGGAAGTGTGAAATGCATCCAGCATCACCGGATTCTAGGAACTCTAAAAGTGGCCTGCATTTCCCTGCAGTTTATACATACGAGTCATTTGAGGAATTCAATTAAAGGTTATTTCCTGAAGAACCAACAGTAAGCATTCATACTGTTATTTTATTGTTGTTCTGTGTTGTTTGAGAATGGTAGTACATTTTCGGCAATTTTTTATCCACCACTTGGCTATTGATTAATTAGATGTTTATAGATTAGTTTGGCATGTGATGATTTCCTATGGTAAAAACATTTTGGGTCACAAGTAAACTTCTAGGAACATTATGTATTTGGGGTCACTTGTCACATTTCTTGAGATCTCTCTTTTAGTCACTTCTTATCAGAAACAAACAAAAACAAGCAAAAACCAAACAACCAACCTCGTTTAAAATGCCATGCTCTTTTTTCACTTTACAAAGTGAGCAGTTGACAAATTACTTTAATTTGGGTTTCTACGAAGAATAGGGTTGGTTGGAAATACTCAGGTTGTACAACAAGGGAATTAAAAAATGTGATGATTTAAAAACAATTTGAGGCATTAGGTAAATGCTATCTGTCTTGGGGAAATTGCAAAGGAATACAGAAATCAAGAATGCTTTGGAGTGTGAGTCCGTGAGGCTTGCAGATTCATTTTAGTGTTCGTACGTTCAGAAATGTGGAACTCTGGATGAACATCTTTCCGCAGTCTTTCTCCCATTTCAGTTGCAAATAGAAAATTCTGAGGCTTCCATGCTACCTGTTTAAGATGTAGCTCCCAGCTGCATGCTTAAGTAAGACCTTCAGTTTGTTTATTGGCTTTGATTTGGCACTTTAAAAAGAACATTTATACATCATACAGATACAAAAATATTTCCTTATATAAAGACTTTTCTTATAAATGAAATTAAGAAGTCGGAAAACTCTCCGAGTGTCTGCCCCATTCTTGGTTGAGAAAGCGTATCCACTTCTGAGCTGTTGAGTCTCCTGGTGCTCGGGGCCCTTTTGCTTTATAAGCATGGGTTTTTCCTTCCTTTATCTGATTAGGATCTTTCTGAGGAACATTCTTTTCAATTCTTTTGTTTTTTAGAAGATTTATTTATTTATTTATTTGAAAGTCAGAGTTAACAGTGAGAGAGAGAAATTAAGAGCTCTTCCATCTGCTGGCTCACTCCCCAGATAGCTGTGACAGCTAGGACTGGGCCAGGCTGAAGGCAGGAGCCAGGAGCTTCTGGGTCTTTAGGAGTTTCATATGGGTGGCAGAGACCCAAACACCTGGATCATCTTCTGCTGCTTTTCCCAGGCCATTAGCAAGGAACTGGATCCAACGTGGAACAGCTGGGACACAACTAGGACCCATATGAGATGCTGGCTTTACAGGGAACAGCGTTACCTGCCCGGCCACAGTGCTGGCTCCAGTGTTTTTCCTGCTTGTGGGAGGCAGCAGGTGCTGGCTCAAGTAGTTACGTCCCTGCCATCCACTTGGCAGACCTGGATTGAGTTCCTGGCTCATGACTTTGGCCCAGGCCAGCCCAGCCCAGCCCTGCTGTTGTGGCAATTTGGGTAGTGATCCAGAATATGGGAAAAACTTTCAAATAAATAAATCGAAAAAAAAGTAAGTAGATGGAATGGTTATGTGACTGAGTAAGTCCATCACTTGGCCTTGGGTTTTTATGTGAATTTAAAAAAACAAACAAACAAAACACAGGGCCTTGCGCAAGCTATCTAATTCTGTTCTGAAGTCAGCAGTTTCCAAGTCTGAAGTGAGCTGAAACAAGGTGCTTGGTGCTGTACTGTGAAGCAGCAACCTCTGCTTCCGCCCAGCAGAGGGACCCCTGGGCTCGTAAACCTTAAGGAAGAACCCCTTTGCAAAGAGACCCGTAGGGGGACAGGTCTTGGCAAAGAAAACCAGCCCTGTACTACTCAGAATACGTTCATGGAAGCCAGCCCCGGAAGGGGCTTACGTGTGCCTGCCAAGTGCCAAGTGCCAAAGAGGTTGTTCCCACAGAAGGACCACCCACAGTAAACAAGACGTTCGTATTATTATTTGACTTCCACGTGGCTTCAATAACTTGAGATTTTTAGACTCTGCCTTTTTGAAGCTATTTCTTGTCCTTTGATCATATAAAATGTGATCATTGCTTAATCTCTATGGAGATAAAAAAAAATGCTGCAGAGTTTAGTCTCAGGCAGTCAGGAACTTTTCTGGAAAACCACTAGGTACTGGTTTAAAAGTCCTAGTCTGGAGCTGGCGTTGTGGCGCTGTATTAAGCTATTGCCTGCAATGTTGGCATCCCACATCAGAACATTGGTTCAAGTCCTGGCTTTTCTACTTCTGATACAGCTCCCTGCTAATGCACCTGGGAAGGCAGTGGAAGATGGTCCAAGTGCTTGGGCCCTGCCACCACCTGGGAGACCAGATAAGAGTTCAGGGCTTCTGGCTTCAACCTTGTCTGGTCCCAGCTGTTAATGGCCATTTGGGGAGTGAATCAGCAGGTAGAAGATTAATTCCTCCACCCCCACCCTCCGCACAACTCTGCCCTTCAAATAAATAAATCTTTCCAGAAAAAAAGAATACACATATCACACATTAAAAATATCCTAATCTTAATTGTTCTGTTCAATTTAATACACCCAAAATACCCTACAAATGGTCTTTAGATACATGCTGAGCTCTGGAAGTTTGGTCAAGTGATGTGGAAAAAAGACTACCCGGGGTTTTATCTTTGCATTGGTTACATGCTTTCTTGCCTGTGTGCATTCCTGGCAGTGCTAATTTCTCTTGTGTTTGGGACACAGATATCTTTGAGAAAAGCCAGATGGAGCAAACTGGTATGTGTGTGGAAAGGAGGAGGCTAGGCAGAGAGGAGGAGTAGTGCTGAGAAGACAGATTTACACTAAGCATCTTCTCCAAGGTGGAAGCAAATACAAGGTACTTCAGGAAACTTCATGGAAAATGGCGTTAAAAGATATATTTATTTTGGTGCAAAAAAGTTGAAATCCAGTGTAGGTTTTTGGGTTTTTCAATTTTTAAAAATTTTATTTAAGCTAAACACATTTTTTCATATATACAGATTTTTCTTTGTTTTTTTTCCCCAAAGAAAGCTTTTATTTAATGAGTACAAATTTCATAAGTACAACTTTAGGAATATAGGGATTCTTCCCACCATACCCATGCTCCTGTCCCCACTCCCATTACACCTCCTCCTCTCTCTCCCATTCCTTGTCCCATTCTCCATTAAGATTCATTTTCAATTAACTTTGTACACAGAAGACCAACTCTATACTAAGTCGTTCCCAACAATTTGCACACATACACACACAAACTTTGAAAACAAGTTTTACAGTTAATTCTCATCATACAACTCATTGAGGACAGAGGTTCCGCATGGGGAATTAGTGCATAGTGACTCCTGTTGTTAATTTAACAATTAAGACTCATGTATGACGTCAGTGGTCACCCAAGGCTCTTGACATGAGCTGCCGAGGCTGTGGACACCTTTGGAATCCACGATCTCCAATAGTATTTAGACAAGGCCATAAGCAAAGTGGAAGTTTTTTTTTTTTTTTTTAGAAAATTTTTATTTAAATAAATATAAATTTCAAAAGTACAATTTTTGGATTATAGTGGGTTTTCCCCCCATAACCTCGCTCCCGCGTGCAAACCATCCCATCTCCTACTCCCTCTCCCATCCCATTCTTCATTAAGATTCATTTTTAATTATCTTTAGATACAGAAGATCAACTTAGTATATACTAAGTAAAGATTTCAACAGTTTTCACCCACAAAGACACAAAATATAAAGTACTGTTTGAATACTAGTTTTACCATTAATTTGCATAGTACAGCACATTAAGGACAGAGATCCTACATGAGGAGTAAGTGCACAGTGACTCCTGTTGTTGACTTAACAATTGACAATCTTATTTATGACGTCAGTGATCACCTGAGGCTCTTGTCATGAGCTGCCAAAGCTATGGAAGCCTCTTGAATTCACAAACTCCAACCTTATTTAGACAAGGCCATAGTCAAAGTGGAAGTTCTTTCCCTTCAGAGAAAAGTACATCCTTCTTTGATGGTCACTTCTTCCACGGGGGTCTCACTCACAGAGATCCTTCATGTAGGACATTTTTTTGTTTTTGCCACAGTTTCTTGGCTTTCCACAGCATAGGTTTTTCATACCTATGGACTTTTTGAAGAATCCTTGTATACATGGATTTTAAACACTTTTTACAACAAAACCAAATGACTTTAAAAATTCCTTTTTCCATGAACTTTTCCAAGTGCCCTCATGTATTTCTGAGTTGCCTGAGGCCCACCCTGTAGTGGCTCAGGACCAGTGCTGTGCATGTGGATGGAAGACTTTTCTAAGACATAGGTTCGGATTTAATACATTATTTATCACCTCACAAGCCCCAGATTTACAATAAGCAATGGGGAATCATTTGTGAATACTGGGAAATATGAAGGCAGCAATACACTTGTTTATGCCAGTCAAGCAGCTCCTAGGAAAGCTCAAGCAAGAGGGAGCTTTCAAAGGCTGTTGGCAGCATGCCAGCCAAGCCCGCCCTTCAGCTGAGGAGTGTTGTGCCTATGCTGTGGTAATCACTACCCACTTGGGCTTTGCCACCCACAGCCTGACAGGCGCGGGCAGAGTGAGTGCAGTGACTGCCTACCGTTGGCCAAGTTCTTAACACTTAACCACATTTAACCCTCACATCTTTTTTAGAGTAGATACCCTAATTTTACAGGCAATAAAAGAGGGGTGGGACTCAGAGAGATAAACTCTCTTTAAATTCTCTATAGTCTTGGGCAAGTGGAATCTAGACCCAAAGCTTGCTCCCAATACAACTCTCAAATTTTGGTCAATAATTGCTGTCAACTCAAAGAAATGTGAAATAGTTGAGGTATGTCTTTGAGACAGATCGGTTATCCTACCAAGCTATATTCAGATGCTGTCATTTATCATTTCCATTTCTTAATTCTAGGAAGGAATTGTAGGAGAAAGATAATTATGCAAATATGAAGGTATGTAATAAGGAATATTCCACCTTGTTAGATTTTGAACTTGATATAAACCAAGGCCAACTAAGCTAACTATTTCAATTTTCCTTGATAAGATC